GAGACCCCTTTGCAAGGGGATCTCCAGTGGCCTACTATGGGTTTTGGGTCTCCACTCCGTACTTCCCCCATCATTCACTATGGTAAGATTTTTTGTTCTGATGATGCCTTATTTCTTTTCACAATTCTTTTCTATATTTCTTTTCACAATTCTTTTAAAATACTTTTTGATATTTTAGGATTTGTATACTTTGTGTACAAAATTATAAATGCAAAATTAAATTAGTCTGCAATTGTAACTTGTGAAAAACATTAGAAAATTGGTAATCTATTCAGTCACAAACATGTCACTATTGAGTATGACCTAATAAAAAACCCTGAAAATGTGTACAGTCATAAATGCTTACTTTTTATGTATTGAGGTGGACATTTCTGGTTAAGACTATCTCTAACAAAAAAATTCATTTTGTATCCCGAGTCTCTGGTGTTCAGAATCAGGCAACTGTGATGATACTGCCTTTAGATGCTCATTTGCTCAGTTTGAGGTGTCGTTTTAAGGAACTATACCATTCAGGTATTGATACAGGTCATGAAGCTTACTGCCTATACTTGGGAAGGAGGAAAAATGCTGAAGGACTGGCTGGCCCTTCTGCTCCCAGGTCAGTTGGGGCAGGGTAGAACTATTACTATTCCTTCAGTACAAAAAGTAAAATCAACTTGGAAAGAAAAGTTTTGTTTGTTCATATAACTTTAAATAACATTTACAATTTCAAATCTGGGAAGGTAATTTTTAGAGATCCAAAAGAATGATTTTCAAACAAATTAAAAAATTCAAACAATTTTAAAACAAATTTATATAGATGAAAAAAGGTTCTTGGCTTTTTTCAAAACAGAACTAAATAATATAGGTAATGTATAGAGTATGTGTACAAACTAATGAGGGACTTGGGAATGTGAATCCAATCCCTCAGTCCTTAGATGTAGGTAACTTAATGAATCAATAACAATAGCATAATGACATAAAAGATATAGCAATAGCTATATATAATGCCTGGGAATATATATAATACCTGGAAAATAAGGTGGATAATTTAGGTCTTTATTTCTGCATTGGTTAGAAGTTGTTCCATTTACAAAACTTGATGGTTCATTCATATCCTTAAAGAGGAAGACAAGGGAATAAAAGGAAAAAGCTCAGAATATATATATATATATATATTGGATAGGAAGGGAGACTAATTCATAGAACTGGGAACTTAAGTGAACATTTATTTAGGTATTTATTTATTTAATTTTTATTGACATTTAATTCACATACCCTACATCCAGAAGTACAAGCATACTAAAATTTACTCACTATTTTAAAGCCACAAAATAAAACGAAGCTCAATAATACTAAGAATTTGGTTAAGTTAAATTCACTTAACGTTTTGATAATCAGTGCTTCCTTTCAAAAAATATATAATGCCCTGTTTTTCTCTGTGGAGTGAATATTACATATAAAAGTAAGTTGTTGTTTTGTTTCTCAAACATAAACTCAGCTTTTCACAGTGTAGACTTTATATTCTGTTATATAGGCTACATTTTAAATTTTTTGATGATCATATTTTTCTCTAAAAAATATATATATTCAGGCTTTGTCTGAAGCAGTGAAAAAAAGAAAGGAAATGACTGTATAGAAGTAAATCTTGCACACTGTCTTCTTCGTCTACAACACTACTTTCTCTCATCCACCAAGGCCTGTGAGACTGGAACCAAGTACTTTTATTTTGTTAACCATAACCATAAGCTACAGTTTACAAATACAGAACACCTGAAAGTTGAGCTCAATGGAGCGCATGTCTCAAGAGTCTGCAGCAAATGAAGGGATCAGTATTTAAAAATGCAAGTTAATTTGATTAAATATCAACACTTGTAAATAGAAAGTTTGTGGGAATACTTCTATGCTAAAATTTTATGGGAAAATGGATGAAAAGACAATGAAATTCTTCCATGAACTCTTTGAAGTCCCCTCAAAGGTTCCCTACTTTGGATCCAGATAGTCTCAAGGGCAGGCTCACTTGGTTTAAAGCCCATTCAAATACCTGATCTTGTACATCAAACTGACATATCTGTCCCAATAATAAAAAAAAAAATCCATGCATTAACTTTATATCCTTAAGGCTCTCATATAACTACAGTAGCATCTCAGTGGAGACTTCTTCAATTAGCAAGTCTATAAGCAAATGTATCTTGTCACAAGCTGCCCAAAGAGTTCTGCCCCAAATCGTTGCAATCCCGTGTGTTTCAGAGTTGAACTGCTTCATAGGGTTTCTTGGTTACGATGTTTACAAATATAAACCACAGGTCTTCCCAAGAGTTGTGGGGTGGCTTTCCCTGTTAACCTCTCAGCAGCTGATCTTAAATCACTGACTTCATCCAGTTTTCTTGTTGAAAATCCAGTAGAATAGCAAACAGCACGTTCACTACCTAGGGATGTGTTATGTAAAAAATTCTATATTTTTGGGTGAAAAGGGGCTTCCTTTCAGGTTATCTTTAAATTACCTTTTAAAGAATCCTACTGCCACCAATTTAAAGTTACATCTAGAAGAGGAAAAATGTTTGACATAATTCCTTGATAAATTTTAAAGTGATAATGCATTTTTGTACAGCAGAATGGATACTTGAGTGTGAGAATTTATTCTTGAATGACAATAAAATCAATATTAATAACAAGAAAATAGGTGATATAATTACTTGATTAAGATAAAAATGTTTGCAAAGTAATGCCTGCAAACATTAATAGAATTTCAACATCTTTATTTCAGCGGCCCTTTCACAAGAAAGTTGTATGGGGGGAAAAGTGAACTAACTGCACAAAGAATACTTCATTGACAGTGAAATCAAGTAAGGATTTTTGCATAAGCATTACAAACTAAATAATGTAAGAGATACATTTTAGAGATTACTTACAATCCACAAACCATCAAATTTCATCTGGTTATTGTAGAAATCTAAAATTTCCCTTATCCACCACTCGGCTGTGGAATTCTTGAAGAAATCTGGAAAAGCCACATGAGCTCTGGAAGCCTATATTAAAAAAAAATCAGATTTACATATTAAAAGCATCCTGTGTATCTCTACCAGTAATCATGTGTCAGATTTATAAATTGTGCACTAGTGATAATGAAAGGAACCCTATTGATGTGCATGTATGTGATTTCTGCTACAGGCACCCAGGTGCTGTCGAAGAAAAGATGGAGAGAGGATAGTGCAGTTGGGTAGTTGACAACGAACCAACTTGAAAGAAAACAGGAATGTAATTTTTTTGCTCCAGGGTGATAGGAATTTTCACCTCAGTATTGGGAGAGCTCTAACCAGCAGATCTATCCTTGTGGGGTCTCTAATTAAAATGTATCCACTCAGTGAATTAATAAAATGCCCTGCTATCCTCACATAAGCCATGATAGTGCAGTGGTTAAGAATTCACCTGCTAAGTGCAAGGTTGGAGATTGGAAACCACAAGCAATTGAATGGGAAAAAATGCTGACACGATGGTTTACAGCCTTATAAATCTTTGGGTCAACTCTAACCTGTCCATTATGGTCGTTATGAGTAGAAATCGACTCAATGGCAAGGTTTCTTTTGTTTTGATTTTTTAAAAAGCTATCTCCACTAATTCGTTCTATTTATTTCTCATGCCCAAACTCACCAAACAGAAAAGTGGTGCCACTCATGAAAATTCCCTACTTGCCAGTCAGCATTAAAACTAAGAGTCACTGTACTTTAACAGACGATTAGTTTTGTTTAATTAATCAAAAGCAATGTCTGAACGCATGGCATCATCAGTCAGTGCTCCTGCAGAGCTTGAGGAGTAGCCAACCACTTCCAGAAGAGCTTCCCTTGTGAACAGAATATGGCAGGCATAGAGTAAGCACAGATAAGAGGGGATATAGAGATTTACAAAGTATATATATGTATATATATATCATGGAGTGTTTTCAATTAGAAAGAAATTCAATTTTATCACCTGACTGAGGCCTAGTGGAGTTACACTGAGCTATTTTCCATGCTAGGATCTTCCCCAAATCACAGATGAATTATTAAAGGTCAGATCAGACTTCGTTTCAACTTTCACTTTTTTTTCTTTTCATAATTTTGTTTTATTCTCTTAGGCGGTTGCTTTCATACTTTAATAAAAGTAATTTTTTTCAGAGAATTGATCAGATAAGTGTTGAAACGCTCTATGACTTTCATGGAGAAGCATTCTAGAAGACTTTACAGCAAATTGATACAGTAAAATTGTTCCTTTGAAGACTAGAGACTGTGTATCTTTACAGGAGCAGAATGGCATCCCTCTCCCACCGAACCACTGCCACATTCTAACTGCTGGCATTGCTACATCACCAGGGCTTTCTCGAAGCCACTGCAAAGTGAAGCTGCCCACACACCTATCTGAGGAGGACACTACCACCACTATCCAAGGATCGCGTGCAAGCCTCCCCTCTGACAAGATAAACCCTGACTCTTTCCTCCATGGCATGGTTCAGTGTTCTTTTTTAATATACTTTAAAAATGATTTGGTTACTTTTAAATAAGGATGATCCCACAATTCTCATCCTTACTTGAACTTTGACCAGAACACCCAGGTTCATTTGCGAGGCCCACATATTGAATTGACACATTGAATTACACATACATTCTACAGCAGGTTATACAATGTAGCTGCACATACATTTCTTTATAAATTTAATGATTATCAGAGATCATTCAAATAATAGCTTCGGGATCTAATGTGATAAAGTAAAAATTTGATTGATAAAATCACTGACAAGTTTTGGTATTCAAGAAAAATTAGGTCAACTTGATCTAAAAATGTTTTGTGTAGGATATAAGAAAATAAGCCTTCTACGTTTTTAATCAAACAGAATCATTAGTCAAAATGATCAAATTTAATTGCTAAATTTCTTTCTGTGAGGTAATTAATCAGTGTAAAAATTACATTCACAGCTTCATCTTCTGTCAGACTTTCGTCTATTGTAATATTGGGCAAGTCTGGCCAAACCTAGGAAGAGGGAAGAAATGGAAAAAAAAGATTAAAAACAAATTCAGTACGATTTAATTGTGACAAAAATGAAGTCTAATAGTGTTTTGATATGTAGTATAGCTTCAAGATCATCAACTTAATCATTTCTTCCATTAACGTTTGCCAAGTGTTGTTTAGTATATGTATCTTTTGCAAACAATTCCATTTCAGATGCTAGTGAATTATTTAATATGACAACCAAACAAGATGAATTTCTGATTTTTATATTAGGTAATGATTTTTAAAACAATGCATATAACCGAAATGGCTAAGCAACATTTTGTATAATGAGAACAAATGAAATTTAATTTAAGATAGAATGTTATTTATTTATTTTTAATTTTCCAGGTTTAAAAATATGTTAACATTTTAAAATTTTTACTAATAATTTTATTATGTTTTTAATAAAACACAAAAATATAGTAGGAAATTCAAAGCAATAGAACTTAAAGATGAAAATATAGTCTTTGAGAATATAATTTGATTTCTTTGTTTTTAATAATTTGAATTCAACTCAAGCAATGTACATTATTTCATTGATTAAATAGCAAATCACTACATTTCTCATGTCTCTATTCCTCTCTGAATGTAGTTTAGTTGTTAATATTTTAATTAGATGGAATATTTCCATAAAATGAAATTTTTATTTTATTATAAAAAGTTTAAGGCATGAATTTAATACCTTTGCCCAACAAATATCATTGGTGTTAGGCCATTTGACAAAGACATCTTTCTGAATTCCTCTTGTATATGCAGGGTAAGGCTTTGTCTCATTTCCAGAAATTGCTGGATCCTAAATTTGAATTGAAAAAGAAACCATATAAAAATGAAGTAAAAATATTGTCACTAGAGTAGCCATCATGAAATATCATGATTGCTCATTACAAAATTTATAATACTAATTTCTCACATAGACTGACAAGTTGCATTCTAATTAATTATCTAATTAGATGTCCTCTCATCTTTGTGGAAGGAAGTTATTACGAAAATCCATGAACTATGATTTTAATTAAGATTAGAAGGATTATTTGTTTTATTTTTACTTTGTGAGGTTTCTTCCTCCATAACTTGCTTTCTACGAGTTATCAATAGCATATTTTTTCTTGCATCACTAACTTGAAGGCTATTTTATAGACATGGCGAGTGTTGTAGTTACATAATCTGTTGTCAATTTGAGATGATTAAGAGGGAAGGGGTGGAGTTTATCCTGTCAATGAGGTGGAAGCTTGATGACCTCATTTGGAGGCACAAAGGAGATAAATAACTAGCTGGAGGCAGGATATAGACTTACTCCCTGGGAGACATTGCAGCTGAAAAGACACATGGAACTAGCTAGTGCCCTGAGCTGAAGAAGCCACTCAGAGACCCCTACCAGCACTGAGACACTTCTACCACCACTGGATCCACAAGACTTTCCACCCACTGACCTGTGAGCCTCCTGCATTTGGAATCATTGCATGTGTTTCATGAGTCTGAAGAGGAATTTATAGATTGGTATTGGACATATGGACTAATACCGGACTTATGGACTTGATCTGGACTGGGCTGCAATGTTTTCTCAATATTCAATTGTTCTTTATATAAATCTCTTTCTTATACACATATGAGTGTCTTTATATAAAACTCTTTCTTATACACATATGAATTTGTTTCTCTAGTCTATCCAGACTAGCACAACAAGCATTAGAAGCACCTCCAGAGAATGATTTAAGAATTATACTGTATGGAAATCGAAAATTCACCAATGCTTTGTGATTGTTGAGGCCAGGTTCTGGGCAGCTTGGATGATTACTGGAGAACAGCTTGCCTTTGATTCACTAGATTTTGTCTTAACTCTCAAAGAATTTTTCTAAAGTACAAAGATAACCTGTGACAGCTTACATGAAATGCAGAATGTTTTATATCTGGGAGTAGGATACAGAATTTTATATTTAATATTTTAATGTCACATTTCATTCTTAAATAGCAATATTAATAAAACCAAATAATGAGACAGATAAAATGGAAAAAAATACTGACCAGGATAATAATGTATCTCATTCCTTCACCTCTTATTTTGTCAACAAACTGAGGAAGGTCCCGGAACTCATCGTCAATTGTAAAATCGAGTTGTCTTTCCATGTAGTCAATGTCTGTGTATTGAACGTCCTGAAGTATGGGAGAATAACATTCTATCATAATTCTGAAATAGCAATGTGAAAATGCCACTTAATCCTAGAGTATTAATCAAACGAATCCATGTTCAAGGAATAAAAGTAGTATGCAAAAGACAAATAACATTCTAAGAATAGGTTAATTTAAATACTCTGATTTGTCAATATATCATTTTGTGCTTTTGATTTAGAATTCAGAGTACTTCCAAATCTGTGCACTCTATTCTATAATTTTCAAGGGAGACAGGAAGACACAGGAGCAAGATGATTTATGGAACAATAAAATCATGCTAAATGGCACAATATAATTTTGTACACTATACTCAGAAATAGATGTTTCTCTATTTCTAGTTCTTATAAAACAAATATGGGATGATTGCTGATTGTTACTCATATTGGCAAATGAGGAGAAATAATGATTAGTTAATTCACTAATTATTGTAAGATAATTTTTGTATTAGCCTCCAAAGTCATTCTTGGAACTAGCAACCTAAGATTAAGTAAGCAGAGTATTGATTATAGATTGATATTTAAAATATATTTAAGATAATGTGTGCTTGAATTTTATCATGGAATCTTCATCTTAGGTTTCAATAAAAACATGTTAATTATTTTCGGCTAATAGGATCAGCTAAATTTCTTCTCCAAATGATACAAATGATACGGCTAATGTATTGATGTTGTTGTGTGCCTGGAGTTAATGCTGAGTCCTCGCTGTCCTGTGTGACAGAGTAGATGTAAAGGCACCATAGAGTTTTCTTGGATATAAAAGTCAGAGAAGCGTATCTCCAAGATTTTCTCCCATAGAGCCTCTGGTAGGTTCTTTTTCTTTTTTTCCCCTAAGCAACTAAGTGTTTAACTACTGTTAAGCCTAAAGGAGTAATTATGACCATAATCAAAGAAAAAGAAAACAATCGCTGACTTCAAGTCCCTTGTTATTCATAGTGGCATATATAGGCTTTAAGAGGCCATACATTTTTAAGATAGCAGACAGCTTCCCCTTTTTCTCAAGGAACAGCTGGTAAATTTGAACCTTCAAATGCGTTAGCAGTCCAACTCTTATATGACAGCTGCATTTATAATAAATTTCCTTTTTCATAATTCTACATCATCCATCTACGCAATTCTCACAGTAACATACCCAAGAAGCATATATGGGATAATATTACAGGTAAATATGCCTTGTACTGAAATCTTTCTGACTTTTAATTTGAATGAGTTCTTATATGCCACATATCTAGCCTTTTGTATGTAAGAATGATCAGGAATTCCTGGAATTCCTTAATCTTGCTGTTAAAAACAAAAATTCAGGAACTGATCATTTGTGGACATAAGAATACATTTTTTCTTGCAAATTGAATGGAAAGGAAACTGCATGCTCCCTGTTATCCTGCATTTGAGTTAACAACCATCATTATTATTGTTGGCCTTCGGTAAACTAATCCAATTTCACTTCTCTGTAACAATTGTCTCGGATTCGCTATGCTAATAAATTTTATAGGAGAAAAGCAAGTTTACTCATTTAGTAATACTTATGGACAAAATTAAGGAAAATGGTATATTATTCCTTAAACCATCTGATAAAGACGTTTACTAATGGCCTCCTATCCAACTAACTTGTGGTAAAGCCAAGAAAATAGACAAATGAACAGTGATTATTACCAATACTTAAAACCATTGTTTATGATGTGTTTATTTATTGTATTCTGTCTTGACAGATGTTGTACTTAGCATCTTAGATACAAATATACTTACATAAGGGATCTTGGCAGCTACCATTTCATTATACAGTTGCTCAACCTCTGAAGTATTTCTGTACCCGTACCGACATAGATGGAATCCCATAGCCCAGTAAGGGGGCATAACTGGTTGGCCAATGACCTTTGGGGGTGGAGAAAAAGGCACACACAAAAAATTAGTATGTTGATTCTAGGCAAATTACATTAATACTATAAAATATCATATATTACTCTATATAATAATATCTTTTAAAAAGAAATATGCAATCATACTTCATGGTATTGCTTTGTTGCAACTTCTGGAGTTGGGCCCAAAAACATGTAAAAGTCTAAAATTCCTCCAATTATGCGGTAAGTTAGAGCAGGAGTTGGCTGAAATGTAACATCTGGAAATCCAAAAGATGATCACAATTTAAATATTAGATATTCCTTTATTTTAAAACATATATATGTATATATAATGAGTACTTCAGCAAGTAGTTGCTTTACCCATTGCATTACTGTTGAGTAAGAAAACGCTGTGCGCATTGCCGTCTTCTTCCAGAGCCATGTAATAGGGATGAAATCCATAGGAATTAAGTTTATACTGAAATAAATAAATATAGAAACATTATACATATTTAAACAATAATATGAGAATAGAATCATATACTGAATCCATTATAAGATTGCATCTCGGGATTTACATGTTCCTTTTCTGCCTACTCAAATTATGTGTTAATTATAATAAATATGAATATAAATCAAAAGTATTACTACAAAACTATAGGAAAATGTTATATAAAATCATCAACATGTGAAGCTACTGATTCTCAATATATCTTCCATCTAGGCCTACACACTTCAAAAAGTAGGATGTCTGTCTCTTCAATAAAAACATCTTCTGAAGAATTCTATGGATTTAATATTGATTTAACATAAAGCCAAAATGATAGCTTTGGCATCCTCCAGGGACTTAAATAACATTCCTTTGAAATATTCTTCAAATTTTGGGAACAAAAAGTATTCTGAAGGGGCAAAATCAGGCCTTAGGGTGGGTGTGGTAAGGTTTCTAATGACATGATTATCAGGAACATTTTCTACCCTCTATGCATGAACAGGGACATTGTCCTGGGAAGGAGGAGGAAGAGGAAGAGCAGGAGGAGGAGGAGGGAGTTGGTAATAATAATAAGAAAAATTCTCAATGTAAATTTCTTTCCATTCTCTCTCCAATGCATTTTCTGATTTTCTTGAACCTTCTTAGTAATATGCCCTTTGGATCACCCATGTCCTTCCTAACAAACTGTCAAGATTACCCTGTTGGAATCCCCAAATGCAGTTGCCATAGCGTTCTGAGCTGACCTTTTCCATTTGGAATTGAACTGACCTAGCAGATTTCCTTGGAAGTCACAGCATCAATTACATTTTAAGGTCATTTTAATAAGACGGAGGTAAGTGTATTACTGAAAGAACTTTGTGTCACTATTCCCTGGTCACAGAAATGTGTTTACATATCCCTTGCCTGTAATAAAGTTATACATGTAGGAACTGGAAACCGGGTAGCAACAAAATTTTACTTACTGGCATTTCCTTTAGCAAATCATTTCTGTATTATTTGAATCATCAAGGCTTTAGAACATGCAAATGATTAAACAAATGTGTAACAATGTTCATAAGAACCATGACATTCTTTGATATAAAATACACTGCATCCCACCATAAGTTAGATGTTTTTGTTTACAAATTGTAATTAGTTTTACAATAACATATCCCAGAAATAAAAAAGTGATAAAAGAGCTCAAACTAACAACAAAATCTCATCTTTATTTGTAAAGTATTTCATTTTCCTATCATCAACATCATCACGTTTTCACCACAGAAAACCTTCGCTGGCAGTCTTGTACTAACAACTCTTCCTGGGGACCGAAAAACAAGTGGCACCTTGTTGCCCACACTTCATGCTAGGAATTGATTAGAATGCACAAGAAACACTATCTATTCAGAACCATGCTTATTTTAATCTAATAATACCAGTACTTATTTTTAAATGTCTTTAAGATGTAAATTTTGAGAAAATGTCTCCTTTCACCTAGATGTCAATGAAAAAGAACCTTCAATAATTAAAGTTTGAACTAGAATGATAAAAATAAAACATTATTTGAGCACCTGACACAATAAAAGGGTTTGCAATAATACAAACATTTATAATCCACACATTTATAATCTCTATTGAATATATCCTTTACATACATGTATATAAAAATGAGCTAATTTTTAATTCAAATGTAATTTCACATATGTGTCAAACAATTGTCATTGTATTTGTTATGTGTTGCAGTAAATGTTTAGGAATGGATTCCATAAATAAGACAAACCTTTAGGGAAAGTATCATGAACATATACAGAGCAGCTTAACTCCATAAAAGGCAGGGCTACAGAAGACAAAGTTAGTATCAAATCATTATTTAAGAAGTTGATGAAATTTCAAGAAGAAACCCAGATATTTATTTTCTGAAAGCTGAGACTAAAGGTGGGCTTGACAAGGACTACTGAATAAGCATGTTCCTTGTATGCAGCTTAGAGGGTTGCAGAATTGGGTCTCACTGTAGTCAAGCAAGTTGTTATCCATCCACATCTCTGCTTTTTTTATCTGTAACCTATGGTGATTTTTTGTTTCTCCCCCGAGAATCAGCATTGAAGCTATCGAGACCTCTATGTTTTCTAAAGACCCTTTGTTGTACTTCAGTTCGGAAATTCAGGATTACAAATAAATTTTGTGGATCCTAATCATACCATACAAGTTGCTTCAAAGATAGTTACATATTGCTACTTACACCAGGAGGCTGGTCTCTTGTGAACATTCCCCAAGTATGCCAATTCATATCTCGCTTAAATGCTGTGTGTTCCACTTCCCCAAATCCATACACATATTCTGATGGCAAACGAGTAGATATTTGAATAAACTGATCATTAAAAGCAAATCCAGGGAGATGAGAATTCCAACTAGAAACAAAACAATTTCATTCATTGTGAAAAATGTACACAAAATTATAGTACAAATAAGAATAGAAATCCTTTCTGCTAACAGAAATCTGAAATTCAGATTTTTTCTATATATATTATTGTATCCACTTGTCAAATGGAAATAATTACAAGAATACACTTTATATTTTGCTGAGTTAATAGGGTTATGAAATGGGTTTTACATTATATTTCCAACATGTTAACATAGTAAATCAAAATACATTGATTGTATGTTTATCTTTAGATCTGAATTACATTTTAAAATAAATAAATAACATATGTATAAAAACTAAATATGTAATATATATCATAAGTTTTATGTATATATATACTTATCTATGAGTCTAATTAGTCACCAGGAAATGCATCATTCTCTATTTTCCCAAACACTGGTGATAACAACAGTAAATGATTTCTATTTATACAGCATAACCAAATCAACCTTCAAATATAAAATTTATTGTTCACACAGCATTTTTATCCCAACCTTACCAATCATTATTTCAAATATTAAAATTGATTGTTTATTTTATTTTGCATTTATAAAAATCAGGCCTTATGACAAAATCTAAAAATATAGTGTAAGGAAAATGTATTCTTATTCTAGTAACTTACAAGAAGATAAGAGAGAAGGAAGCGGAATTACTTGCAGCAGGGAACAGAAGTATACTTATTCAAAGTGAGAAATTTTCAAATATTTTATAATAAAAATGTCCAACTATCTCTTAGAAAATAATGCTTTTTTGTATAAAATGAGGCAACTGTTCAGCATTTTTAAGAAAAATATTGTTTTTAACAACAAAATTATTTTGAAAACAGACATTTTTCATTATTATCTGACTCTCAACCATCCTATCTTATAAAGGATAACCTTGCAAGCTTAAATTACATAGAAGTGTCTTTTAATCTTTTAACTATAAAGGCATAACATTTTGAGAATTTACTCAGTATCCTATAAAATATACTTTGATATGTCTCTTAATTCCCTTTCATAAGTAAGTAGCAGAGATAGTGTTAAATTTATGATATTTTTCACAACAAACTCTATTTTCCACAATTCTAATAAAACAGTCACATAGCTAATTTTTAAATTACATACATTTTCCCATACCCCTCATGTTTTCATGAAGTTTATGGATCTTGCCTTGACTTGAATTATGTGTCAGACATTCTATGATACATCAAGCACATCCAAAGTATAAATTAATGTTTACATAGATATGCTATGATGTTTCCTGATTATCTGAATTGTCTAGATTAGAAACAATAAAAGAGGTCTAGCTAGTTAATACAAGTACAAGTATGTTTATGTGCTACGATGCTAGAACAGAGAAGGGTGTTTAATCATCATATTACCTTTCCCAATAGTAAACTAAAATTAAAATGACATTCATATCAAATAGTTCAATCTCTTACATAATTTTTCCAGTGCTTCTCCGACGAATCTGGATCCCAAAAGGATTTTCCTTGATTTCAACATCATAAAGTCTGTTTTCGTATGAACTTGTTGGAGTAGTTGGAATGTTTAATGGTACTGGAACTTCATATCTCTTTTTTTGAGGATCATAAATCTATGGTGGGGAATAATAAGAGTAGATATAGTTGGCTATTAAGCTTGATACATAAAATTTATTTTGAATAATTGAAATAACAGCTTGCAGAAAGGTGGGTTATTTAATATGATTCTTCAATCCGTAGTATCCATAATTCCCACCAAATGACTTTCCTTTATGATGGGTGTGAGTTCAGAGGTGGGGAAAAGTCCTGATTATATGACACAGTTCAGCTCTGAGTGACAGCCAACCAGCTGAGTATAGAGAAAATCATGTCAGTAGGAAAAGGGAGCGATTTTACTACCAGGATTAGCCAGGAGGGGAGCTTGGCCTCTCTGGAATGTGCGATCCCTGCCAAGTGAACCTCCTTGGTCCAAGAGAGAGCGGTGACACTGAAGAGTAAGAGGACTCAGAGTAGGAAACAGGGGGACTTCCCAGGCCACAGGGCAAATAAAGCTGAGTGCTTTAGGGCAAGAGAACATCTTGTGGAGTGAGGTGCCTCCGCGCACTTAATTGGGGAAATCGGGTTAGTTGAACCGACAGTTGAATGCCATCAGTTGAGGCTTGGAGTGGCATGGTATGTCCTTGTGCATTAATTAACAGACCTGAAAGACCTTGTCTTCAACTAAAGCCTCTGTCCTGAGCATTTCGATCTGAATTCTATTAACATCCATAATACATTCCTAAATCATGAACCTTACCTGTGAGTTCTTGGTGGGCATTGCAGTAGATTTTAAAACATAGTTGAAAAAGTAGAGAGGGCGGTGGGAAACAGCTGGACAATTAGTTTCTGAGTGATAAGGAACACAGCTCAAACAAGAATATCTAGCATTTCTACCAATATAATCCCTAATTATACATTTATGGTTCCTATATCTATATCAAATTCTATATGCACATCAGTATACATTGGGACCAAATTTACTATATTATTTATTTTTCATTGACCAGAAAATTAAGACACCTTTTAAAAAAATTGTGGAGACAGCAAACAATCTATTTGTTCATTTAAGTCTGATTAGCAACATAGTTCCATTTTCAGTGACTTAATAATTATTCTATGTAAGAATTAAATTTTAAAATCACTATATTTGATTTTAAAAATACTAAAGATAAAGAACTACACTTGTTGACCATCTAGTTGTGAGCTATGTGAAAAAACTACAGGCAAAAATAAAATAACAACCTAACGGCCTTTGTTCTCATAGATTCAAACTGTACTAAAATCTAAGCCTTACCTATCTATATTATAATCCCAATTTCCTTATCATTTCAAAAGCCTCTTGCCTCCAAAGCAAAGGTAAGTAATGGTGCAGCTTATGCTAATCATACCTTGAACTGCAGCATATCATTCTTGTGATATTTCACCTCTACACGAAGAGTTGAGATAGGCTCAGATGGCAGCTTTATTCGAGCCTTAGTAGGATTCAAATTAAGGTCAGCAGTTATACCCATTGAGGAATACTGGACTGTGTTGACCAAGTAAGGATTGTCTTGTCTAGGGAAGTAACACTCAGGTGCTCTGCTGGCAAAAGAAGTCTTAAAAAGAAAAGAAAAAAAAAATCACATCCTTTATCTGATATATATATATATATATGTGTGTGTGTGTGTGTGATATGTGACTCTAAAAAAGGTGATGTTGATCTATTTTTATTTTTTACTTATACTTTTTATCATATTAGTGAGGGCTCTCACGGCTTTTATAACAATCCATAAATCCATTGTGTCAAGCACATCTGTATATACGTTGCCATTATCTTTTTCAAAACATTTGCTTTCAACTTGACCTCTTGGTACCAGCTCCTCATTTTTTGCTCCCTCCCACCCTCATGAACCCTTGTTAAATTATAAATTATTACACAGCAATGATGACCTCCAACATAGCAAAAGTATGAAAATTGCAAAAGACTTGGCAACATTTTGTTTCATATATATATATTTGCTTGAGTTAGAGCCAACTCAACAGAATCTGACTGCATCAACAATAACACTGAATGATACACAAATTTATTGTTTTGTTTGTATTTCTAAATATGATTATAGAGAACACAATGCACCTTCGGTGCAATCAGAGACCATTGGTACTACAATGTTAATAGAATATCTGTATGTTGTCCATAGACCAGTAAAGAAGAATCAAATGTATATCTTTTCAACTCAGAAAAGAAAATTTGATTGTGCTGCCTTTGTAGGAATTAAGTATATTACTAATAATGTTTGACTATGTTTGCACATGAACACAATCTGAAGAGCAAAAACAGACATAGACCCAAATATTATTAGTAATATAATAACCTTTCGAAAGACATGTGCTTAGAGTTCTGTACCCTAACTTTTTGATTCACAAGAAACTACCCCTTTCTTGATGAATCCTTATGGTAGCCAAGATTGAAAATTGAATCTTGCTTGCCTCAAAATTGAAAAGAAAGTGGTGCTAGGCTCAGAGCTGATATGTTTACCTAGGTTGGGAATTGGAATCTAAGTGAAAGAATGATTATCTGTAACACAAAGGGTCATTTTCTGTTCTATAATCCACCCCCCTCATCTTCTTTATTTAGTAACTCAATATATGTATATTGAGTGCAGCCAATTGTTCATCTAAAACACATAATTTTACAGATGTGTATTAATCTCCAAAGTTCCTTAACATAAAGGAAGATAAGCTGATTAAATGGTGACACCTTTGTCATAACTGTTCTAAATGTTAGTACAAATGTTGACATCAAGAAGTAATTTTGAGATTGAAATTCAAATGGAAGCTCTAGAGACACTAATGGATATTAAGATTATAATATTTTAGGTCTGGGGTTGATTTTATGAAAGAAAAATTGATCCTGTTTTGTTTAAACTACTCAGATACTTAGTCATTGATACTTTCAGTTAAAAGCAAAGCAAACTGTAAGTGAGAAATACATAGATCACCCATCCCAAATTTAGCACATGAAATGAATATGAATTGAATCATGAATATGAATGACTTTGCAGAAGGGTATAGCATGTCTATGACTCCCCCACCGGTAGTGTTCATTATACTACCACTTCCCCTTTCTTATCAAAATTGTCCTCACCTATACTTCTGATTGATATTTTTTTCAGCATTATTTTTTTAATAATTAGTATGAAAATAATCTGGTTACTTAATTTAGAGGAAATGGTAAAAATTTATAAGCTTGATTTGTTCAACTTGGTAATGCACAATTGATTGAATATGCAATGTACCTTTGAGTAGCTTTTTAAAATGCTTACTCACAAACCTGCCCTTGTCCAAGTACATTTACATACAATCAGCAGTAGATTACTTCTGAAGTTCGAGATTTACTGTCCTAGAGCTCACTTAATCAGTAGGACCCTTAAAATTCATGTGACCTTCAAACAATTAACTCTAAGAAAAAAATTAAAGTTAGGTGGTTACTGATATAACTTAAGAAAATGAGATAGGTGCTAAGATTTTGAAGATAAGATTATTTTTCTTAAGTTATCAGTAATATGGAGCACATCAAATATCATTAAATTCAAATTTGGAAAAAATAGAGCTTATTTCTCATGAAAATAAGGTAAATTAACTTTCCATGAACACACAGTGACCAGATGCAGATCAAACACACACTCTAGCCCTGAGATTGGCCCAACTCTGAGCTTGTTTCTTTAGTTCATTACTCTAATCATCCCCTTTTTAGAACTTCAGTTCTTATGTCCATTGCTTACATTAGCACACTAAGTTGGCAAAAGTGAAATCCCCGGAGGGTGGGCAATCTTCTATTTTCTCAAGAACTACAATTGTGTGATGGAATATGGCTTAGGAAATGCATGCAAGCATGTTGAGAGCTCTCCCTTTAGATACTTACAGAGGTACAAAGGTGCCCAGGGTACAATCCTACTGTAATTCCTCAGAAGGTCACAATGACATTGACCCAGAGGACATTCTCATTTCTTTTCACATTTCAACAGTCCCGCTGGATTCTCCTGGTTTTCTTGTTTTTTAAATAGGAAAGGAACGAAATCTGAATCACACTACCCACCTGCCTACCTCTTTGTGTACTCTCAGGAGATGTATCTGGTCAGTGCTTCTAATTAAGGTAACCCATTTCCAAAGTGCTTCCAATCCTTTGCTTTCTTTCTTACAAAAACACTTCCCCCAAAATATTTTGCACCCTCCCCTGAATAACTAATATAACCACTCGTTGTAAATGATATTTGTGTGCCTCCTTGCAAAGTCGTTACAAGTTGAACTGTAACTGCAAGGTCCTGTTGTTCGAAACCAGCAGCCACACCTCAGAAAAAGACAAGACTTTCTACTCCAAAGAGTGACAGTGCCAGAAACCCAAAGAGCAGTTCTACCCGGGGCTCTGGTCACTCTCAGTAGGAAGCAACTAGATGGCAGTGAGGGATGTCTTTGTTTGTTGTTTGTTTTACTTTTAATGTCATTTTGCTATTTTCCCCAGTTAAAAAAGAAGTAGGTGACCTCTTAAACTTCAATTACTGCCCTATTTCTCTGCTTTCTTTATAGCTCCAATTCATCCCTCAATTCACATTTGAACTCACTCAAATGGGGCTTTTACCCTTGCCTCTCCAACAATATACCTCTTGTTGGGGATCCAAAATGTCCATGTTGCCAAATCTAAATGTCAGTGTGTAGTCGACATTTTACTGACTCATAAGCACAATTTGCAGAGTTGATAATTTTCAATCTCTTTAAATGTTTTTATCATGACTTTCAGCACTCAGAAGTCTTTTCGTTTCAGCCTAATTCTTTTCCACTTTTATGTTGCTTTTCTTTTTTTATTCTGATTTTCCTGACAATGAGAGTTAAGATTACCTAGTATTTGGTCTTTGAACTTATCACCTGTACTAGATGATCCCATCCCATCTGGTGGCTTTTAAGACTATGTATGAATATGAGGGTGTACTTCCCAATTCATGATGCTCATTTGTTTTTTATGTGAGGGGCCTAGTGCATGTGAAGTTCATTCCACCAGGCCAGACTGTTAATCAAGTTTCTATTTAGAGATTCTGAATAGATTGCATGATAGCATAACAGAGTGTGACAAAAAAAGGCCTGATCTGTGGCAAGCAGGGGACTGGTTTTGCCACCACCACTATGCAGCTGCTAACAAAGCCTTCACAGAGTGCCAGTTTTTGGCAAAAACAGTGTGCTTCTCTTGTCCCACACACCTTACTCACCTCACCTCACTCCTTTTATTTGACTTCCTTTCATTTCCATTAATGAAGAGGGACACGAAAGGTTAGTGATTTGAAGAGATAGAAGAGGTGAAGGAAAAAATAAAAGGAAGGTGCTGTCAGTCATTCAAATAGGTAAGTTTGAAAAATGTTTCCAAGAATGGAATCACAGATTTGACAAATGTGTTCAGTGTAATGGAAAGCATTATGTAGTTAATAAGGTTATTTTGTAACAAACATTAAATTCAGAGCTTTGAAAAAAAACTTCTGCTTTTTGGGGGGGTACCCCATATGTGTATGTGTGTGTGGGTCTTTGTGTGTGTGTGTGTGTGTGTGTGTGTGTGTGTGTGTATTCCAAATTTTACGCCTGATCTACTATATCAGAATCTAAACTTCTTCAGGTTTAATACAACTCACAACTGGACAATTGTTGGGTTTCCGTTAGGTCTCTATCATTATTAGTTTGTCTAAAACAAAAGTCTTCCCCTCTAAGTCTTCTCCTCCCATTGTCTGTGGATGTCAACTCCCTCTCCTGTTTACTTGTAAAAGAGCAACAGCAAAAACAGTTAAAATCTCTTTCAATCCACATGCAATAAAAGAGAAGAAATATATTGGCTTTATCTGAAAAAACATATATGCATAAAGCATCTATTTCTTACTACTCTACTAGTGTTATTCTAGATATGGTGCCTGATATTTTGCTTTCACTATTGCAACAATCTCTTACCGGATCCTCCTACCTTAGTATATTGTCAACCGCAAACCCAAACCCAAAAACCCCATCCCACTGTGTGGACTATATTCTGAGTCACAGTGACCCTGTAGGATAAAGTAGAACTGCTTTCTGAACTGGGCTTCTGAAACTGATGTGTTTTACTTATTCGTTGGAACAGGCCTCCTATCTTTTCACCAGAGTAGCTTATGCACTTGAACTCTGCAGTTAGTAGCCCAATACCTAAAACAAAGCACCATCAGGGTTTGATGCATGAATTCTTATTTCTAATTGTATATTTTTTGTGTCTCCGGTAATTTGCATAATCTTATCAACATCCTATCTCAGAGGGAAAGAATTATAATCTTAAAAATGGTCTATTTGTCCTGCATGATCTCTTTCCGTAGCTCTATGATACCATCTCAACCTATTGTTCTCCTCGCTCTCTCTGCCTTAGAGACCTGGCCCTCCTTACTGCTTGTAGACTATGTTATGGGCATTCCCACTTCAAGTTGGTCTTTCTTCTCTTGAAAAATAATTCCTTTTCTTCATTTCCTTCGAATATCTTTTAATAACTGTCACCTTCTCAAATGAAGCATCTTCATCCAATCTTTAAAATTACACAATTGGCTTTTCCTCTCTCTCTTTTACTGCTTTATTTTTTTCTCCATAGTACTTCTATAACTTCACATCACATTTTCCAGTGATTTGTTTATTTTCTCACACTAAAATTTAAGCTCCATCAGGGCAACGAGATTATTTTATTTACCTTGAGTAATATCGAGAACATTTCTTTCTTTTGCGTTAAGTCTAAACAACAATCCACTGTCATTGAATCAATTTTATAACACCTAAATCGGCTGGTGGGTTTTCAACCACCAAATTTTGGTTATTTGTCAAATGTTTACCTGACAGAGCCACCAGGGCTCCTTAGAGAAGAGAAGGTTTCAATATTTTTTTAAAAAGTGAATCAGTGAATAAATTGTGTTTCCTGAGAAAATGCAACTATATAATAAGTACTCTAAATCATCAAATATATTGGCTTTCTTTTGCCTGATTTTGTAATGGTATTTTTGCATTGTCATATTTTAAAAATATTTTGCTGTAGTAAAATAAATTGTTAACACATGCCCTTCAGGTTGGTTTTAATAGTAGAAGTAGGGATCATACTATGCATGAAATGGGGACTTACTAGAAATATGCATGTTAAAGTGAAGTTACTGGAAAACTAAAAATAATTCACTAGTTGACTTTCATTGACCTCTGATTTTTCCTCCTGCTTTAGAGCACCTCCCTAATCTGATGGTCAATATGATGCTGCTTTATCAAGCAACGTAATGGAGGTCCTTTCTCCAGGAAAGGAGTTTTTACATCTCTGAAAGAAACATATATACTCCTGGAAATTGCTGGAAATTGGGTCTTGACTTTTTAGTGGAGTAACACTTGCAATTCATCCCTTACTTACATGATTTTTATTTTAGTGGCAAAACCCAATGTTAAAGCAAAAGTCTTAGGATCTGAGCAATAAATATGATAAACGGAGACTTTCTCCAAATCTCTTTTCTATAACATCCATTAAAATATCTGCCATCCAGCACTATCATTCTCCCATTTGAGGGAAGGTCCCCCGTTTGAGGTAACTAGAAATGATCACCATTTAATGGAAAAGATCTCACCTATCACTCAATTTTAGAAATTTAATACCTTGAGATAAGGTTTTTGAAAGATTGTTCCCTGCTGACATGAAATAGCCCCTACATAACTAATCAGATTCAGGTAACACAATGTAAGCCATTGAGTCCTATTTTATTAAAATAGAGGCACAGCCATTTAGTGTGACAGTTATTAAACTACATCTTTGGAGTAATAAATAAGATCAAAAAATATATCAAAGGTGCCAAATTCAGATTGTAAATGCTACACAAGATGAGTGTCCCTGCTCTGCTGTCTCACTGAAATGACACTGGGTTTCCATCGAAATGCCTGTGTGAAAGTCGTGACAGAGCCATGGGTAAAATTCTTTTTACCGATTCCCATATGCATCCACGCTGCTTGCATTTTTCTTCAGTTACATCGTCTGCATCCGGATAACAAGTAAACTTTTCATTTTGTGAGAAAACTTGATTCCATTGAACTTTAAAGCTCTTTCCAAGATTTAATTTGAGATCGAGAATTTGGAGAATCTTTGAAAAGAAAAATGTGTTATACTGTCTCTGACCAATGAATAATTTTAAAACATTTGACCATTTCATGAAATGCAGCAACCACATAATTTCTAACATCAAATCATTAATAACATGATATAGTGCTTCAAAAACTCTCCCAAGTACAATGCAAAAAAGTATAGAACAGGAAAAAGAAAGAAATGCTGATGAAATGCTAAAAGCCCAAGGCAGGAAAGCTTCAGGAACTGTGAGATGGGTGTAAAAGAATATTGAGGAAAAGCAACTTCCTTGTATTGACACCCGAGTTCAAGTTTTTGTTATGCCATTCAATGCTCATGTTACGTTGGGTAGATTGTAGACTTTGTATTATTTTCTATCTGTTTCCCCTCTAAATCAGCCCAATGACTTCTACTCATAGAATGAATGGATTATGAAATTTAAAATACTTAGCATAGTTTTTTGAACAAGTTGTTTTTCCTAAGTGACATTTATCTGGCTCTCCTCACAATAGTTGTTATATTTTAACCCATTTTTGATATATTCTAATTCAAATTCATCTATTATTTGGACATGCAATGCTATACTTGATTATTGCTTCAGAATAATCAGTGTATTTCAGAAGAACATGGGCAAGATTTAATCCCAAACAAATTATTCTATGGAAAGCATATTTTTGGATGTGTTCCAACTTTGCTTTTTAGGAATATTCACATAAAAGTCAACCAAAGCCCAACAGAATAATGAAGTTATGAGTGTCCAGTCTATACTCGTACATGTATAAAATCAAAAGATACAAACAAGCTGGTAAACATGTCCATAGAAATGAATTTGCATTGTTCCCTCTTGATAACTCTTGCTAATTTCATAAAGTTCTTAAAGATTGTTTTGTTGAATTGACATCAAAGATATCTTCTGACACTGCTAGATGCATTTATAAATTATAGTATGGTTACATATTCAGAATAGTTAACCACTACATATATTTCTAAAACATTCTTCATGAAACCAGTAGAATAAAGAGATTAGCAATAGAGTGGATTTATGTAAAAGGATACTATAAAGCAAAATTCTGTACCTCAAATAATTTAGAATTCATTTGTTAGTTTTTCCAATATGCTTTTTTATATAAATGGTAGGCATTAGTAGAGTGCTAGAAAAGGAAATGCCAATTAAAATGGCTTTCCTATAAAATTGATTATCTGCCCTGTAAACCTTCACTTGTTTCACACTCAGAAAAAGTTAAAATAGATAAATAAACAAAAAGAACATCATTTGAATCCCCAGGAAATCTCCATTTGACACTTTGATGTGGTATAAATCAGAGGTCAGAATAATTTGGGGAAGAATTGAAGAAATGTATACACCACCCTCAGAAGTGTGTGCACCTAGGTGTCAAGTTGCAATAGCTCCACATTTGATTTCTTTGTAGACAAAGGTGCCTATGGTTTTGTAGCATAGAACTTAGCTTTCTGATTTTGAATTATGTCTGTCTGACATTTTTCATATTATATAAGCTGTACTATGGTTTTAAGATTACATTTACAGATGAAGAAGTAAAGGTCCCGAGAGCTCCCTGTAATGCACTCAGATGAAGAACATAGTTTAGACTCCGATTCGGAGACAAGTTTCTTTCTTCTCACTATCAAAGGAAACAAGATGTGGAAGGCGATGTACTCAAATGGGACACATAAATGAAGTGGTGAAGTCAGACAATGAGAATTGAGGATCAGGGAGAATGGCTGAATAAATTAATTAAATCAGTGTTTAAAGTCTTAAATTAGAAGATCAAGCATTCAGAAGCTATAGTCAATTATTAATTAGGTTTCAAAATAGATGATGGCAAAAAAATATGTCAGGAAGGCATTTCTAAGACAAAATGAAATAGAGAGTGAGCAATGGCAAGCCGTCAAGCTGTTAACAACGTACAAATTCGTAGAAGTTAAAATAGAATATTGACTTTAAAATGGATAGAATGAAGAAAACTAAATATACAATATGAGGAAAGAAAATATCACGAGACCAAGTACTTGCATGATTACCATAGGCATCATTAAATGCGAGACGATATGGCTGTTAAATGTGTGCAGTGTTCCATTTACCTGAGTGGAAGCAGCATAACTAAAATTTGCATGGGAAGCCGCTGCTTGATTGGTTTCTGACACATTAACTTGTGTAACAGAATCTGTTAATCCAAGGATTTTAATAGTCTCAAAAGCTAAAGAGGTTCCGTCCAGGTAGGTTGAATGATTGCATATTATATTTAAACTGTTCTGAAAAATGTACATAATACCATAGGTTAAAATAGGAAGTATTTCAACAAAAAACTGAAATTATAATAGAGATATAAAAGAAGAAGAAAATAATTCATCTACCCCTTCACTATAGCAGTTCTTCTAAGTAGCATGTTTAAAAGTACTCCATAGGAATCTTTTCTAGCGGTTTTCATGAACTTATTATAAAACTTATTTTCAGCAATAATTTAAAATTTTCATAATATGACTTAGATGCCTCTGTGTATCTATGATATGATCACAAACTCATCTATTATATTTCAATATACATTTTTATGGTCATAGTTTATTTATTATTTTATAAGGTAAATTTAATAATTTAACGTGGTAAATTATTTCATTACTTTCCATTTAAATATGGCAAAACTTTGTTAAATCTTTGTAAATATGGTCCTTATCAAAGAACAACCTAGACATTGCAAAAGTACATATAGCACTATGGGTATAAGAAAAATGCTTACATTAGAGACTGAAAATGTATATAATATGTAGTTGTCTTTTTGTATAGTATCTGAAAGAGAATAAAAATAAAGTTTTATTAAAATGTTCAATTAGATTATTTTATGGTTTATAATACTTAAGTAATTTTTAAAAGATACAGTTTTATTGAAAACAATAATACAATTTCCCTTTTAAGTTATGTTGACATAAACCAATCCTGGCATTTTCATTTCCCCATAAGCATATCTAATGAATGCATAATTGATTACATAAATTTTCAAGGACCATTAAACTATTTTGAAAATTCAGAGAAATCAATACTTTTGAGAAACGATGTACAAATGCACTTTACACAATTGATGTGTGTATGGATTGGGATAACAGTTGTATAAGCCCCTAATAAAATGTTAAAAAAGAAAAAAAAGAAAAAGAAAAAGAAAATCAAATAAACCTTAAAAATAAATAAATAAATAAATATAGAGAGATTAATGATATTGAATGGCAGTTTATCTATTAAATCGCATAACAATCACTCACCCTAGAAAAATTGTGCCATCAAATTTAATTTTGTACATATTTTCTTTAATTGACAAAAATTTGATGAACTTGAAACACAATAAACAAGAAAATACATCTTGAGGAGAATATTGAGAAGTACAAAGATCTTTTTCTGCCATGCGTAAAATAAAAGTTTTAATCAATGTGTCTCTTCTACAGAGGAAATTAAGACTAAATTGATTTGGAAAAAGCATAGTAAAACCATACAGTGGGAACCATAGGGTTTATGTATAATACTTTGTGCTGTAATTTTATTAAAATTTCAATCATAGGAAAATAAAATTAGAATTAGAATCTCAACTACAGGCAATTTATGTTTGTTTGCAAGCTTGCTTATAAATCCATTACTCAGAAATGACTGGCTTACTTTCAGTTTCTGAAATCATTATCTGTATAATTATCATATTAGATAGTTTTTAAGTCATATGTCCTATGCATTAGATTATTTTTCATTTTATAATGAATTAGGTGAAGATAAGTTTTCCATTCCACATGTCATACATCTGACTGCTATCCCTCCTCAGACCTGCTTTTCCTGTTTGAATTCCTCCTCTTTCCTAACCCTTCTGATTTTTTTCCTACAAATGTTGCCCTTTTGATCTTATATGGGAGATTATTCTCAGGTATGCATCTACCCACCCACCAATGTTATGGTTCTCCCTCTAGACCTATCCGCTGTGTAACTTAAAACTGAGTAATAGAAACAAGTTCATTTCTTGACCTGAGGAGTGACTATGAGACATAGCTTTAGTGTTACTAGCGATCTCTTTCTGACAACTAGCCAAAACAAGCAGACAACAAAACTCCTCACTGCCCTCAAGCCATTTCCGACTTCTCCAGTCCTATAAGACAGGGTATAATGTCTCTGCAAGTTTCTGTGTCTGTAACTCATTACAGAAGTAGAAAGCCTCATCTTGGGTATTTTTTGTGGTTTTGAATTTTGTTCCTTTTTTCCCTATGATCCCAGGAATTTCTGTTGTGATTCCTTATAAAGCAGTGGGTACTGGTGGCCAGGTGTCATCTAGTTTTACTCATCCCAGAGTTGTGGAGACGTTTGTATGTCCGATTCCTTTGTGTGCTCCATTTGTCCATTGGATTCTTTCCATGATGTTTTGATTTTTTTTAACACATATTAGATAGATCTTTTAATCAAATATATAGAAATAACAATGTAACATATATAAAATAATCTGAAAGTTTAAATATGTAAAAAATGGAATTAAAAATGAAAGCTTGTGATATTTTTTAAACAGTTGTAATTTTATGCCAATAATGAAGGTAATTTTCCCATCATCATATTGAACATTAAAAAGTATTTCATCCGTTTTGAGACTTACCTATAGTTTCTCCATCATCCCAGAAAAAGTCTCCTTTTGCTTGGTTATTTTCATCTAATGCAATTATAAGTCCTAAGGGGTTCTTCCGGCTGTTAAGATTGGGTGAACATATGATTAAAAATAAATTAATAACACTGAGATATTCTTTAAATAAACCTATTTCCATGAAATCATTTTGTAGGAATTCTGCTTCACATATGGCCATTGGTATGAGTAAAATTAATGTGTACAACAGTAACAGTTTTTCAATGAGAAAAATTAGATATATGTTAAATAAGTAAAATGAATAAAAACACCAGATTTCATTTTTAGCAGAAATATTTTTGATATTAAAACTAAAAATATATATAAACTGACACATAGATTTATCATTATATTAAACATGTTGATATTTCATAGTTTGATTAACAATTGGAGATTGTTTTTAATTACACAAAATCCTTTATGTATTTTTTTAATGTATTTAGCTACTGGATATAAAATTCTACTCCAGTTCAATTCATATTTTAAATAAAAAACTTAACACTACATAAAATTTGGTGTGTGTTTTTCATAACTCTGATGGTCATAATTATCAATAAGAAATTTCTTCCGTCCCCACCCCCACCAGTCCTGGGGCTTTGGGGCTGGGCTCAAGGGGAGTCCCTCTGGGACATGGGGGCACAGTGAATGGTGTGACCCTTTGCTGGGCATGCCTACACAGTAGGGGATGCTGGGGCCCACTAGGGTTTTCCATATTGGCTCCAATAAATTCCTTCCCTTTTGCTTAAAAAAAAAAAAAGAAAAGAAATTTCTCCCATTCGTCAAATATCTTCTGATGAACAAAAGTAAAAATTAGATAATCTAGGATTTGTTAAAACACATGTGAAATGTTACATTTTAAATATGGATCAGTGAATTTTCATTTTACCTGGCAGTGGTAGTTACAGCGGGCTGCTGGATGGGGATAATATAACCTCCTCTGATATGTAATCCTATTTTGTCTGCTGGAAGATACATATTAACACGTTGTTTTCTCCATGGTCTTTTTTCACCCTATTTGTGGGAATTAAAATGATCAATTATTAATAAAGTTCTCAAAGTACAGATCAGAAAAATTAAAATGGATACCTGAAAAAGTACTTTTCTGAGCATCCACGCCATTAAAATAAATAATAATATATTGATATCTAACTTTTAAAGAAAGTTTCTCTTTTGAGGAACTTACCAAAGCAGGAGTGAAATACACTCTCTTTATGAAAAAATAAAGAAAGATATCCATTTTCTTATTATAGTAATAAGTAATATACCTAAATAGTTTCACTATTTATGTATCTATTTGATTGCTTATCTCTGTAAGCGGGTGATTTGGGGTGAGATACTTTAAATAATTCCTTATAGGTAACTGAAGGATCTATTTAACAAATACTTGATATGTAGAATGATATATTTAACAAAAATAGTTCAGAAAATCTGTTGGTTGGTCAAATAAAAAACAGATTATGGGAATGGATGCTATGATGTTGCCCTTTCGTTGTTGAAATTAAAATACTTTTCCAAAAGTTTCTATGTGCTCGCCAGAAGCAAAGGATTACGAGTACCTGAATATTTAATTCAACTGATCATCAGACATAAATTTCAAATAGGAAATAATTACGGTGCGTTATCATCCTTTCTTAATTTGATTATCTCATAGAATACAGACCTTTATACTAACAAATAGTAGATGTAATAAATGTTTGTGTATTCTAAAATATGAACGCATTCCTTTTTTGAACATGACAGAAATCTTGAAATACACAAATGTAGGTGTTTTGAGTTGAATTTCTAAGTACGGACATTCACAAGGGTAGTACTTGTGAGCACATAAGTACATTAATGTGACTTACAGTTTCATAATCATACCAAGTCGCATCAGGGACATAAGCACTCACTATCTCTGTCCCCTATGAAGAAGGAAGGAAACAAGATTGTAGACTTTTTGACGTTAATATTTAACAGAGGAGAACCAAGTCAACATCAATGTTCATTTTCATAATCAAGGAGTAGGAGAACCTTCATCTATGGTATATAATCCAGTATTTCTAATAAATTGTAATCAAAAACATTATAAACTATAATCAAACAGTAAAAATGAAAATAATTTAAGTGTCCATGATACAACAAAATAAATGCTTTTATATTTAAAATACTGGTCATTGTGAAGGAAAGCATAATTGTTTTGCTATGTATCCATGGACACACAGACCTATTAAAATGTATAGTAATTTATTCTGTTCTTTTTTCACCACTTTTATATGATAGGAACTATGTAGTTTTAAGATTCTACTTAATTTACAATATAGCAGAATATTTATATCTACATGTCCTTAAATGGTATCTCATTGTTACTTTCCAAATATTAACTTTCATTCAATAAAGCTCATGCTTTTTAAATAGTTTTATGTAATAATATTATTTCCAGTTAGATATTATATATTTGATAACCACGTATATACTTGATATCATAATTATTTGAAAATTTTTCTAGAATTTAGATTTCAATGAGTCACATACCAACTTGAAACAGCCACCCTCAAGATAATTTATAACGTAATTTAAATTTGGTTATACATAGTTATACATAGTTCCCTCCATGCAATAAGAGTGCAAAATGTACCTGTTTTAAGACAGGAGTAATAAGTAATGCGGGACCCCATAAGAATTGAGTGTCCTCAATCCAGCTATTTGTATCTTCATAAAATCTAAAGAAAATGAAAATATGGAAAGTATATATTTAAGTTTATTAAAACGCTTATTCATCGCTTGTTTGGGTTCTCTGTTCCATTTTTTTCTTTTGAATTCATTTTTAACTTGTGTTTTACTTGACTGCACCGTTTGTTCATCTTTTACAGGTCCGGTGGCACCCGGGAATGTGAAGGAGGAAGAAGGAAGGAACAAAGGAAAAAAGAAGGAAGGAGGAGAGCAAGGAAAAAGCAAGGAGGGAAGCTGGGTGAAAACGTACTTTGAATCAAGACATAGTGAAGTCATTGACTATTTTACTCACTCGTGAAGAAATGGCCTTGCTACGGTCTCACCATACAGATGGGCTTTATAAAACAGAGTATAGAGGAACGGCAATAGTGTGTAGCGAATAGTCAAGTAGTGTCGGGATGATTTGACCAAAGGAGAGTCCTGTCCAAAAAATGCAGGGTCCTGATCCTGGGTGATAAAAACAGAAATTAAAATAAGAAAGGTAACATGAAGGAAAATTAAAGTAGAAGTGTGATCATGTTTTATAAAGCTAATGGTTCAAACATTAGCTTCTTCTAAAAAAGTTGAAATTTTCTCTATTTCACCATTAAAGTTCTTGGACATTTTTGAGTTTTCACTTGAATATGTCTTTCCATTAAGGTGTATATTGTAATGAGCATTGCTCATTTAGATATACAATAGATAAGAAACTAAGTTAAATAAAATAGGACTTTGAGGGCTATGAATTGTGTGAGTTTTGAAGAGAATATATTCCTGCTTCCAATTCTTCATCCATCCTTGCATTCACACTTTTTGCCATTGACTTTGCAGATCCCACTGCCGAGAGTGGGTTGTTTGTCTCTATTTATGCTTAGAATGTGGCACACTCTGGCCAATATGATGTCAGTACATGGAAAGATCTCAAGCAGGGCTTAACTGAGCTTTCAAGAGGGCTTGCTGTTTGGGGTATCACCACCATCATTAGACGAATGTGCTTAGGTAGTGTACAGGCTCTTTGACACAAAGAACAGAGCTGATGGGCCTGTGTATGTGCAATAAGTCTTCCTGGTCAGCCCTACCTAGATCAGCTTGACTCTCTTGTAAAATATACAGAGATATTAGTAATCTGGCTCAAATATCCATGTAAGTAGGGCCCCATTGCTACCCCACTGAATCTTCCACCATGTTCAACATGAGGCTACAGATTTGTTTTGTTACTCCTAGTGAGGGAAAGAGCAGGGTTCTCATACTCTGCAGGCTACTCCTATGAAATGTCCCCCAACATATGACATTCTTCCCAAGAATCTCCTTTTTTTTTTTTGGACTGAAGCTTGGTAAAATGTGCGCTGCAATTTAAGACTCTCCCTGGCAAATGGCTTTCCTCCCCTGCCTTCTGCACCAGGTTCAGACCTACATGGCGTTTGAAGGTTCTCCCCCACACACGGGTGCTCCCTTCCCTGTATCATCCATAGCCATTTCACCAAGAATACACATGTTTTTGCATAATCTCCAAACAGAAATAAAAAAAACTTGCGTTGATATCTGCACCTTCAGGGACAAGTACACTAGTTAGAAAGAATCCTTGGTAAAACCATGGAATAAACATCAGGCTGCTAAAAGGTCACAGTTCAAACCCACCAGATGCTTCAATAGTGAAAGAGGAGCATGTATGCTTCACATAAAGATTTCCATTCCTGGAAACTTTAACGAGCATTTTAACTCTGCTCTATAGGGTTGCTAGTCATTATCTTCTTGATAGAAGTAAGTTAGGCCTTGCTTTGGTTAGTGTAATTCGTGTCAGGGTTATCTATTATTATCTTTTACTAGAAAGTGCCATTTACGTTTATTAGGAAGTGACAAATCCTTGAACATTCCTGGTGGTACAGTGGATTATGTGCTGGACCAATCACCACAACATCAGCAGTTTCTAACTACCAGGAGCTCCTCAGGAGAAAGACGATGCTTTCTAAGCCTGTAAATATTTACAGCTTCGGGAACTCAAAGGGACAGGCCTGCTCTATTCTATAGGAATCAACTCAATGTCATGTGCTAGGGTGTTTATGGAAATTTCTCCTTTGCGCCATTTCATTATATGCTGCCATGCCTATGTCCAGATTAAACTCTGAGCGGTGGTGTCTTTCCTCAAATAGAATGAAAGCCCTATGTGCAAATCATCTGAGAAGAGTAAAATATTTCTTAACCATCACAGACTTATTTGATTTACTTGGTTAGCTGGAGTTCACATTTCCCTATGGAGGGAAAAATGCCCAGTGGAGCCTACAACATTCTGGGAAAAGTCCGTGTTAAAGCCATCCTGACTTACAGTGATGCTACAGGGCCAAGAATAGCTGCTCTATAAAGACCCAGATTACTTCATTTTCCCCTCAGAGTGGGCTGGTGAGTTCGAATTGCCAACCTTTTGCTTAGCTGTTTAATACCTAACTTACTGTGTCAGCAAGACTCCCTTAAGCTAGTAGAAAAGCTTAAAATGTCCTAGGATTTCTGTTCCAACCAGTATATATTCATGCTTTAAAAGTAACAATTTTGCTTGTTCCCATTTTATGACTCACAGAAGGGCTCCAGATACAAATTGTTTTTCAGGTGTCTTTAGTTTCTTATTTTATTAATCAAAACCTGGAAACTATTAATTCACACGATTTATTTATGAGACAAAAATTACCTGGAACTAACACTGGTAGAATCCAATGCAAAGAAAAATCACTGAATCTAACTTAAAATACTGATGCGTTAAAATATGTGTGTCTACACAATTGATCTATGTATTGTGATGAATTGTATGAGCCCCAATAAATTGATTTAAAAAAAATGTGTGTGTGCTTCTGGCTTAAATATAACGTTTTCATTGTGAACACATTTTGTCTCATCTTTTCTTACTTGAATTTTTTGTAAATATAACAGTTATACATTGTGAGATGAAGATTTCTGGCAATGCTTTAAGAATTCTATCAATCTTCAGTGCATATCTTCCATAGATTTATGCTTAGGTACATTGCCAGTAATCTGTAGGCAGTTATTTTCTAAACATGGACAAAACCTTAAGTCACTTACGATGTATCCGTCTGCATTATGGTTTCTAGAAAATGGATAAAATGCCCCAAGCTGCATCCATCGTCTGCAAAGCTCTTCTGTAGTGTCAGCCACAAACCCACAGATGTCTGCTCCGACCTAAAATTACACACATGCATTTTTTAAAGTGTACACTCTCTCACACTTTGTCAGATCATTACAATTTTTGTATCAACAGATTAATTTGCATTGTTTAATATCTATTTTTTGTTTTACTGTCTTTGCCTATTTGTTAACCTAAATTATTTAGTTTTCAATTTTGATCCGTTCTTGACACAAATTCCATTGTCATATTCAATTTTTGTTCGTTGTTTCTTTGTATATTTCCTGAGCTTGACTTTATTTTTTCATTTGCTCTAATTCAATGTATCTAAGGGAAAAATATGGTATTAAAATGTGGTGCTGCTGAACCCCAAAAATACTTCCCTGATATGACTTTTCACTTCTTAATAAAATATCTGATGCAATAAAAGATAAATAATACAACATACAACTTTCATTGAATTTACAAAAGGAATCACAATTAAAATGAAGAGCTTTATTCACTATGTACCCATATCTGATTGCATTTATCTTCCTCAAAGAACACTCCAGAAATAATAAATATTCCAAATTCAGTGATAACTATTTATATGAATTTATTTTGCCTCATGTAATACTATATTTATCATAATCAAAACACTGTATTATATTGCATTTTTAGTAAATGTTGATGATATATTAAAATATTATTTTTATAACATTCAAATGTATTAATATAACTAAAGTTCTCCATTATATCAGTTTCCTCTGTGTAAATATATCATCATTATCCATTCTCCTACTGATGAATATTATTTTCACATGTACCATATATGCTCAAAGATAAGCTGGCCCGAATATCAGCTGAGGCACCTAATTTTATCACAAAAACTGCATTAAAAATGTGCTGAAAAATTCGGCTTATACACGAATATATATGGTGATTTATGATATTACGAAAAGTAATTCCACGAAATTTGTCTTAAAAATGCATAAAAGTACTCTTATTTCATGGTATAAACACCTAAGAATATTTTAATTATTTTTCTGGCTTATTTGAATTGTAAATCCTATTCCCAAATTTATTTTAACTACTTATAAGCAGAATGACAGCACATTAAAGTTGTCATTGTTCCATTCTCATGCCAACAATAGGTGTTTGCAGATTTTAATTATTACTGCTATATGTGATATATCTTTGTGAATTTGAAGAATTTTATTTGCATTTCCTGAATTACTAGGAAAATGGATGTACTTTCCATTTTGTGTTAAGTCCATAGGCATTTCTCCTTCTATAGAATTCTTTGTCCATTTCCATGTCTAATTCTTCTTATGTTCTGTGAATTTTAAGATTTACTTTTAATTGAATGATAATTGTTCATTGACTACCTGCATAGAAACTATCATATTCCAATACATGGTTTTTAATTTTTTTTAAAATTTTTGTTTTGGTAAGCAAAAGTTTTCATATTGCAGTCAAATTTATATCTATTTCATATTTGATTTGTGCCTTTTATGGTGTTTAAAAATTATTCCTGGAAAGCAATCCGGTGATATTTAAAGCAAATGGAAATTGAGCTATGACCCAGCTATCTCTCTACTGGGCACGTCCCCAGAAGAGGTAAGAAAGAAACCAAGCCCAGTCATCTGCACTCCAACATTTATTGTGGCGCAACTCACAATTGCAGAGTTGGAAACAACCCAAATTCTCATTGGTAGACAAGTGGATCAGTAAACTCTGCCACATACACACAGTGGAGTCCGATGCATCACTCAAAAACACTGATGATCACATGAAACGTCATTTCATGGGAATAATTGGAGAAAAGTATGCTAAATGAGGTCAGCCAATCACAAAAGGAGAAATACAGCATGTGTCCCCTGAGGTAAGTGTAATCAGCACAGTAGGTTTAGAAGAGAAGCCACCTTTATCACAATATTCAGGTAGAGGTACAGGGAGTCGGGAGGATGTTAGACCAAACCCAAGGGGGTAGGTTGCATGTAGGTCCAACACAAAGAAGGGGAATGGGGGGGCAGGAGTGAGATGATTTAAGGTGGGAAGCAGGATACTAACACACCCAGGGGGAGAATATTGATTTTGTCTCCACAGAATTGGGAGTGGGCATGCAGAACCTACCATGGTGCCCCAAACCTTGAGGGCCACATGGCCACGTGGAGGAATACATGAAAACATACAGCTACAGGACTGGCCCCAAACAGAGTCAATCTGACCACCTCCCTAGAAATATAGGTGACGGAGAACAACACTAAACCTATAGGTTGGCGAGAGGGGCCAGCATGCCATGCCCACATGGAAGCAGACCAGGAACAAAAATGAGAAAGGGGCAACCGACCCCATGTGGGCACACCAGGCCCGGAGGATGACTTCCCTATTGGGAGCAGTTGAAACACAGAGGGGTCTGTGGAGTAGACCACAGCTTGTGTCATGTTGTCCCCTTACTGAAGCAGACTAAAAGAGGACAATTCTGGGATCACATGGCAGGGAGGAAGTGCAGTGTAGTGTGAACCTCCCACAGCAGGGCAAACCAAGAAGGGAGCATAACAGATCAGCAACTGGAGCAAAGCAAAGCTAAGAAGCTCCTGAAGAGCCCCAAAATTGGACTTCAGGCTAGGAGGGACAGCTCCCAGAGATCCCCCATCCCCAGTGGGGAGATAGTCATGAAAGTCAGTGAACAGACCTGGAATTATGCATGTTTTGTCCCTCTCTCTCTCTCTCTTTTTTTTTTTCCCTCTCTCCTTTCCTTCTTTCAGTCTTTTGTGTTCTTTTTGTTTGGTCTCTGGCATAGTCAGTTTGCCTACTATGTAAGACAGGCATGGGAAGCCACCCCCAGGAGAAAGCAGCAGGACCAAGGGTCCCGAGGGGATTGGTGGGGTGAGGGCAGCAGGGGAAGGGTGCAGTGATGCACCCATAGATGGTGAACAACTTGGGAATTAGAGACAACAGCAAGGAGGAGATGGAGATCCTGGGGGTGTGGGAGCAACAGTAAACTAGCTAAGAGGAAGTACTAAGAACCAGAAACAGGGGAAAGTGATGGTGGGGTAGGAGAAAAGAAAAAGGAAACAGAGGAAAGACCTAGGAAGCAAAGCAATGGATAGCAGTTTAAGCATAGGTGTGTTTAGATATAAATGCAATAATCCACAAAAATAGAGGTATTGGCCTATGAACATATATTTATATGGCAATATACTGAGGAAGTGGATGGACTTCGTGCCTTTGCTCATAACCTCCCTCAATACAAAAACACTTTGTTCTAACAAATTGGCTTTCTGAGATGCACAGCTTCCCAACATAATCACTGAAGACAAAATGGCTGTATAAGAAAATGTGGTGAAGAAGATAGATATAGTGTCTGGGATCTTAAAAGCTTGAAGTTAAACAAGTGGCCATTCAGCAGAGAAGCAACAGCCCACATTGAAGAAGCACACCACCAGTGTGATCATGAGGAGTCAGGCATCAGAAGACACATAACAAACAAACAAACAAACAAACAAACAAACAAAAACTTTATTGTTGAGAACAAAGGGGCACTGAGCAGAGACCTAAAGTCCATCTGTAGACAATGGAAGAATCCCGCCCCCTGACCCCCCAGGGGAGCCACCTGGAAGGAGTGAGTCAGCCAAGATGCTATAATGCATTGATGAAACACACAATATTCCTCTGGTTCCTTGAGACATCCTCACCCCACACCATCATGACTCCAGTACTGCTTCTCAATTCAGACTAGATTGAAGCATGTGCACAGGTATAGAAAAGAGATGGGGGATCACGACACACAGAATCCAAGAACAGGAGTGGGAATAGTGATACTAGAAGGGTAGGAATAAGGGGTGGGGGGGAGGGAGAAGAGAAGGGGGGATGGATCACCATGATTGACACAAAACCATGCACCCCTTTCTAGGGGGAAGAACGACAGAAAACACTGGGGAGGAGAGACAGCAGTCTGTGTGAGAGATGAAGATAATAATAATTTATAATCTATTAAGGGGGTATGAGGGTGGGGCAGGGGGAATGAGGCACTGATAGCAATGGCTCCTAAGAAAGTAAATGTCTAGAAATGAATGAAGGCAACATAATGATCTTTTAATAAAATTTTTAAATTCCATATGTCAAAGTCATAGAGTTACTCTAATACTTTCTGTTTAAATATTTAAAATTTACTTTTCACAAAAGGTCTTTAATCAACAAGACATTTAAAAATAAAGTAGAAATTAATCCCTTTTATTTTATTTTTCATATGGATAATAAATTGATCATAAGAATTATTAATGCTGTCCTTTCTGACCTTTGGTGATAACATTGTCCAGATATACATGGGGCTATTCCTGAGGTCTCATTTGGCTATATTAGTATATCTACATATTCAACATCAAATATCATTGAACTGCTATTACATTATCTAGTAGACCAATACTCTTATCCTTTACATCTATAAAATGTATAATTTTCCAACTGAAATTTAGAATTTTAAAAATATTCCACAAAAGACTGTGGTTTATTTTATCATTGTTTGGAGAAAATAAAAATTCTTAATATATGATCCTTCCTATCCATTGAGAGGGTATAGTTTTAATGTATTTAAGTATTTTTTTCCCAAATCCTAACCATATTCTTAATATTTACTCCTGGATTACTCATTAGTTCACTGGTATACTAAGTTGTACCATATATTTAAGTATATTTTAATATTTTTTATTGCTTTCTTTTCTGGAGGACAAAACTTGCTTAATTTGGTCTATTTTTCTCTATTTTTAAAATGTCTATCTCTGCCATATGACTTCAATGATTTTTAATTCAGAGAGTTTACTATTTTTGGATTGTTTTCTTACTTATCTTCATAAGTTTGATATGAAGTAAAATTATTACCCAAGCCAATTTTAAAATTTATTAAGATGTAGTCTGATAAATAACTTAATTTTAGTCAATCACCAAATAAAATTTATGAAAATGTTTAATCTTTTTTCTTTTAGTATACGATTATGAAAAAGTAAATGGATCCTCCCAATTTCTTAATACATTCTTTAGTTTTTAAATTATATATCGGTTCTCTTTAGTCAAGAATATCAATATTGCATAATTCCTCTATGTTTATATAAATTGATTTGCCAAGATTTCTGATGTTTTGAATGATCTAATATAAATTTTATGTCTTAAATTGAATTTGATTGTGCTTTTGCATTTGGTAATTGAAATAATGAATATTTATGTAATCTTTAAAAAATAATATACCCATATATGTATATATTTTTAAAATAATATGCATACATATGCTTTTTTTACTTCAACTGACCTTATTGTTCTTGAGATAGATTTAGTCTATTGAGATTTTTTTTAACCAATCTAATTTGAATTTTTCATATCATCTTTTTATATTTACTTGTAAGATATTTTTCATTTTTTCTTGATATATCAATTTTCCCAGTTATGTTGGCTTGAATAGTTTTTTAATCCCATTTTCTCATTCCAATTATTAAAATGTTGTTGTTATTGGGTATTATCAAATAGATTTTAAGCCATAGCAATTCTATAAAACTTTATCATGGGATATCTTGGCTGTAGTCTTACAGCAGCAGAAGACTAAGTATTTGACCTGTGCAGTGATTGGGTGGACTTGAACCACCAACCTTTGAGGTAGCACCTGAATAATTAACTATTTGCAGCACGGAGCTCCTTTTGAATGCTGCAAACATCATTTATCTTATGTTTCTTTTGAATTCCTTAAGCATTCAGATTGCATCGTTTTTCTATGTAACATGGCCTTCAATCATTTTACCAAAAATCATTAAGAAAATAATGTTTACATGTAAGTCTGATTTAAAAACCCACTGCTACCAAGGCCTTTCCATTTCATAGTGACCCTGTTTAGAGGTTGTGAACTTTTCCAGAGTGGTACAGCCTCCTGTTTCTTCCACAGAGAGGCTGGAGGATTTGATCTTGCAGTTCTAGCAGTCCAATGGTTTCCCAGTAGCACTACCATGGTTCGTTAAGCTAATTTAGAGATTTATAAATAACATTATATGGAAAGACTTACCAAAGGCATTCCAAACAAACCGAACTCCAGCATTCCTGAAATAGACCATTCCATTTGCTCCCACGAAGCTGTATTGTCTCCTAACCAATGTGCAGCATGCTTTCCAGAGCCAGCAAAAGTTGACCGAGTGAGAATGAAGCTTCTCTTGTTAGGAAAAACTCTTTGTACAGCTCTAAAAAAAAGACAGTGTTAATAAATATGTTTTATAATAATTAATTAATATGCATATTATCTAACTCTTTGTTTCAAATGCAATGATTACAAGTCTCACTGATAAGTCATCATCCTTGCAAATGCATATATAAAATTTATGCCAATTTTCTATTGAGGATTGATGTACTTGTTTTAAAACACTTTCATCAAACACAAAGGAAAAGTTTTCAGAAATTCTTCAGATCTTGAATTACTTATTTTATTGATTTTCATCCTTCTTTCTGAAAAGTGGAAGTCTTGATCCCCGTTCTTGTAAATATGGCCCAGTTTAGAATGGGGGTTTTTCTCTTGTTTCTGAGCTCATAACAGAGGGTTCTAAACAGAGTTAGAAGTGTACCACACAATAAAATAAGACTGGATGTGGACAAACACATAGAAGGGATCCTGTCAGGCGAGCATTATCAGCTAGGATGGGACTCCAAGGATTGCCTGAGGGCTGTCACAGAAAGTGGGATAGAGAGTCACAAAAAAACTTGGCATAGATAAGATCTTGATTTGATGTTCAGTCTCTCAAGCAAAATAAATTTCTCTTCTTTAAAGCCATGCACTTTTGGATATATTTTTATGGTACCAGGAACCTAAGAAAACTACCAAAATAATTCAGAATGTGCTTTGGACATCTACTCAGCATTTGTGCATAAAATACTTTTTTAACTCATTGAAATAAATTTATAAATATAAAATTTAATAATCAAAGCAAGAATTCAACACATTTTGTATTATTTTTACTATATGACTTAAGATCTGCATTTCAAATATCAGATAGCAATTTCATTATAAAATTTATATATTTGAGCAGTACTTTATTGTCTGTTTCTAGAAATCAACCATCACCCGTAACTGCTGCTATTAGTCTCACCTTATAAAGGTGTCATATTCGATGATAAAATGTTCTTTGTTCATTTCTTGAAATAATGGGCTTAAATACTGTTTACATAAAGTTTTATTGAATTTAAAGTAAAACAAGTTATTTCTATCAGTATACTGTGCAAATTTTGATGTTATCATGATATCAAGCAGGAGGTTGGATTTAAACTGGATCACAGTTGAGTATGAGAAAATCATAAATTTGTTGAGACTAGAATTTGGACTGTATTGCCTTTTAAAGTATAGGCTCTTTTATAATGCTTTTGGATCCTGGGATTGTAAGCAATAAGCACTCAGGGGCTAAACAGAAGGCTGGAGGTTCAAATCCACTCAAGGTTTCCTTGGAAGAAAAACCTTGTAGTCCACATCCACAAATCACCCACTGAAAACCCCCTGAAGTTCTATCCTGATACACATCTGGCCACCATTATCAGAGCCTGATGATACTCAATGGCAACTGGTGCTGGTATTGGTAGAATTTGGAAAATCGCCTGTAACTGACACAAATTTTAGCACTAAATCAAATATGCTATTATCTTCTTCATCGTATTATTATTATTATTTTTTGCTTTCTCACTCAGTATTTTCAAGTATATAGTTAGACAATCACAAAAGGCTTGTAGACTATAAACAGGAATGGAGGTTATAAATGAAAGCATACGTACTTTTCTTGAGCTATGGCCATGCTATATCCATAGAGGCTATGCACATCATATTGTCTCCCCCAGTGCTGCATAGAGTCCATGCAAATTGTTTTGGAATACATGAGTTTATCAAGAATATCTTAGAGAAAATAAATACAATATATTTCTTAAGATATAGGGAGTCATTTTGAAATTTACATTTCTTTACATATGATTCTGTGTAATAACATACTTCATAAAACATCAAAAGTGTTAATATAATAGACTTAATTGATTAGTTAATGAGTTAGTTAATTGTGCCAGCCTAGCCGATAATCAAATGTGGGGCTAATTGAAAGGTGGAGGGATAAATGGGTGGTGAGCCTTGTCTTTCTAGTTCTCGGGTCTCTTGATTTGTGATGGTTGCACCAGAGTGCAGCTGCCTTAGCAGATCCCTGCTTCAGCTTGCAAGATTGACTTCCTACAAGACATCCCCAAGGAGAAGCCACATGAATCTATCCTGATGCAGCCCTGGGTGCTGGAGCAGCTGTGTGGAGATCCCTGCTAATGCTGAGATGCTTGTTCATTCACTAACTCAGATTTCCTCCTGCAGTCAGCATCATTGCCTCTGTTTTGTGAGGTGGAGGACTTTGTGGACTAATGTTGGGTTAATGGGTTAATGTTGGACTTGTGGGCTTGGGCAGCTTTGGATTGGGATGTTTTCGTGATGCACATTTTCTTTACATAAAACTCTCTCTTATATATGAGTTGCTGTGGATTTGTTTCTCCAAAGTACCTAGACTAATACAGTTAGGTTTCATTGTGATCCCTGCATTCCACTATTTTTGAACTTGAAATACCTAGATCTTAATAAATTATGTGACTCTATCTTAAATAAGTAAATTCGCAGAACACATTACTTTTAACTCAAAGCTATATACCCACCTGCATTACTGTATTACTTAATTATTCTCTTAATATAATATAAAAATTATGTTATTGAAGTGAAATCTAATTCAAGGCATATAGACTTGATATATTGATACTAGGTGTGTTCAAGTAAAAGCTGCAGATCACAGTGACCTTATATATGGTCCCTGAATTCAAATAAGTGTCCTTGTTTAGTATGTCCTTAAGTCATTAAGCAAGATTTTTATGTAAGAAGACTTACATACTTAGATACAGCTCATGCCTATGTCACTTAGTCAAATTTTGGCATATATTACCTTGTATACATTTCTTTCCCACACAAAGACATTTTAAAATATTTCCAAATATAGTCAAACATCTTTAGCATAACAAGAAATTAATAGTATTCATAAGCATGTCACAAAGTACATATGTTTTTGTATAAACTATTTATGCTCATCAAATTTTTAATATAATAGCTTTTATGGGGATTGGTTTAATACTTTGATTTTTATACAATCTAGGTGTTCCTAATCTAGGGACAGCCTATACAACATCATGGAGCACTTCTCCATCCTGGACCAGCCTATAATCGTTGCTGTCCCTGAGCCCATTGTTACAATCATTACATAGGCCTTTCCATTGAGGGACTCCCTCTTTTTTGTGATCGATGATTCTACGTTATCAGACATGGTGTCATTCTCAAACAATTGGTTCAAGTAAGCCACACAATGTCTCACCATCCTCACTTCTAGGGATCGTTATGACTCTTCCTCAACCAAGACTGACTTGTTCACTTTTCTTGAGGCATATGGTATATTCAGTATTTTTCACAAACATCACAATTCAATGGCATCCATGATTCTTTCTTTTTAATTTTCCCAGCTGCTATAGACCTCTAAGATGATTTGGGTCAGGCACCCTTATCACTAAAGTGCTGCCTTTGTTTTATAAAACTTTTAAGAAGTTAAGAGGTCTTTTGCAACAGGTTTACAATGAAAACCATTGTAACAATACTTTGAACGGTATTTCCACTGACAGTGATTGCTGATCCAAGTAGAAGAAATCATTGATGTCAATTTCTTCATCATACAGCATGACGTTGCTTCTAAATTATAATTTGATTCAATAGAATTGCATAATTCAATGCCCTATGTCCAAGGTTTTTTCTGTTCTAATTTGATTTATTTGGTATCAAAAAATATTGACATAGTTCTTCAGACACCCTCTAAGAGATTTATTCTCCAAAGATCTCATCTTTTCTTATATTAAAAATTTTGCTCACTTTTGCTGTTTCTAAAAAGATGTGAGATCTAACTATTCAAATTGTGTATATTTCACTTACCATATGTAAAATGTTTTCATCATTTTAATTCTATTTTCATAATACCTTTTTATGATAACTAATTATTAAAATTAGGGACCATATGCAAGAAGTAAAAGGGCAATTCTTCTGTTTCATGTGTAATTCATTCATAACAAAGGCTGATTTTTACTTCAGAAAGTGATACTTGGGGGGGTCTTCATTTTTGGCAAGTAAAGTCATATAATCTACATAACACCCATAATTAATGTGTCATCTCCACTCTATGAAAAAATATGCTTCATATATTTCAGCTCCTTTGCTTTTTGTTCTTTATACAAATCAAGTAAGTCAAAGAATACAACTCTACCTCACCCATTTTCTAATTTTGAACCATGCCATATTCCTTTGTGGTATTTAAACAACTGTTTCTTGATCAAAGTAGGATACTCTATGACAACAGGTTTGGGAATTTCGAGTCTTCACTAATCCACAATTTGTTAGGATCCACACATCCAATTGTCAGTAAAAAGCAGGTGTATATATTTCTGCATTCATTGATTTCAGCAAAATCTTTATGATATGAACAATAATTTCCTCTATTTCCATACCCTATTCTGAATTTGGCTTAAACTTTTGTGAGACTCTTGTTAATATACTACTGCAGCCATTTTTGAATTATCTTCCAGATATTTGCTTGTGTGTGATATCACTAATCCTGATCAATAATTTCTGTGTCCAGTTTGATCACACTTGGAATGCAAAACAGGTAGCTGTTTTGCAAATTGCTCAACATAGACTAATAAATGCATCTATTTGTTGGAGCATTAAATGTTATTCTCAATTTCTAGGCCCTTGTTTTTCACCAATCTGTATAACAACAGTCTTCAGGACACTTGAACATTTTCCTTTAATACAGGTAGCTCTTGGTCCTGAAATGATCAGTTTTATGTGTTAAAATGACTGCATAAACTTATATCTTCTTTTGATGCATCCTGCATCACTCTTTTTTTTCTCTCTCCCTTAAGAAACTGGTCTTTTTAATTGGAAATCCAATATATTCTATCTTCCTCACAAAGAAAATGTCAATGAATCTTTGTACGAGTTTGTTGTATGCCTTTTTAATTGTTATTTTTTTATATTTACATGTGTGTGAGCTCATTGAAAAGACTACAGCTTGAGATTAAACACACCATAGTCATCAAAGTCAATTAATCTTATCTTTTAAAAACGTTAATGAGTTATTCCTTTGGCCAAATATTTCTCAGTGCAAAGCACTATTTGTTTTCTGGATCACTGCTTCTGGGCATGTTGATTATTGATTCAAGAATGATGAAGTCATTGACAATTTCAATGTTTTCCTTCGCTTAACTTGATGTATATTGGTCCAATTTTGATCATTGTTTCCTTCAGTTAGGCATAATTCACAGTTATACGGAAAGAAGGACCCACCACCTTTTCTTTAAGTTTGTTCGACTGGTGGGTTATGTGTCTCTGTGACACTTCAGTGATGCTGTAGTACTTCACGAACCCACAAGTCACACATGGACAGGCTTCAGCAAAAACTCAAATCTAAGACAGACATGAAAATAAAATACCTAGCTTCTTCTCCCAGAATCTAATAATAAATATTTTCAATGAGTATAAAAAGCCATTTGGTTGCAGAGTCTCCAGATAATAGAAAAAATATATACAAAAAGCTCATTATTTAGAATTTACTATTCTATAGGGATATTTGTCTCAACCAATGATAATTACATAATACTTTTTAATTTACCTGGGGTAAAAGGTGGATAATTCCATTTGTTGTCCTTGCATCCTTCCGTAGAACCTTGAACAAAGCTGGAAACTTCATTCATGTCCTGAGTAGATATACAATTAAGGACAGGTGTTTCAAAATTACTATAAAGCATGTAAACCCAAACTCTCCAATTATTTGAAAATGGTGTTTGCAAATGACAGTAGTAGTATTCTCATTTTCTTTCAGACAAATGTAAACTATTAATCTATTAATCTATTTAAAAAGAGCTTTCTTAGCTAAAATAAGTTACAATATTGACGTAGATAATATTATATCTATTGAATAAAAATACATACTAGATGACAGAGAACCCTTACCAGGTGCTAGGGAATTACAAACAACCAAAAATTATTTATGTTTTGACCTAGTTATACATAGAAAATACAAATTGCACTGTGTTAAGCAAGTGAATTTTACAAATAGTTTTAGTCTTCTCACTGTGAGCCTATCATTGTACACATTCTTAGTACATTCAGTCGTTCAATGTATGATGCTCATTCAGCTGCCTTCATCTAGTTCTGTGATATTCTGAAGAGCCACTGTTTAATGCTTGTTGGTCCACTCCCATTCAAAGGCGCCCTCTGAAGGTAGGCATGACCATCTTTTTCCAAAACGTCCCAGTCTTCAAAATAGATGCTGCAATTCTACTCTTCATGGGTGTGCTTGCCATGAGTTGTAATAAACTTTCCAGCAGTGAGAATATAGTGTTCTGTGCATAATGCTATGTGCAGTACAGTGTGATCCCATAGTCTCATGAGAAAATGAAAGACGGAAAAAGATAAATAACTTTTAAGTATTCCAATTCATAAAGTTATGGTCCACGGAGCTTGAAACAGTTTCACCTAGTTTATCACTTACTGAAAAGGAAGTTTAAGAGAGGGAGTGGTACATTTGTGTTCATGTCACAGCAATTGCTTGATTATTGTCGAGTGAAATGTGATGACATGCACTGAATTGTACTCACAAATAAAATTATGCTAAAGTATTAAATTCTGTAGTTTTGAACATAACTTTGTTTGGAAAATTGTATTTTTCTCTATAGATTTTATCAGAAAACAAAGTCACAATTTAGTAGGCTAAATGTTGATCCATTTACATGGTGCTTTTAAAGCAAGTGAATAGTTACAGAAACAAATGCACCCATTTGGGACATTTACCATCAACACGTATCTAGGGGAACTTGCCATCAACAAGTAGCAAGAAAGTCCTGAAATTTTCTGGAAATGAATTAGTAAATAGGCTTGAAACTGCTACCTCTGAATTTTCAGAAGGAATCAACATTTTCAATCTTGATGAAGTTCAATTATTTTTACTGCATTTCTTTCCACATCTCTGTAACTCTCACCAAAGAACTGGGTAGGACCATGACTGACCTCTGTCTCATCTAAATCATCCTTGGGAAGATGTGGAGTTGACTTATCCTTCCCTTTCATCTCGTCAGAGGTCAGATGTCAGAAGTGGCTGCCACATCATTTCCCCCTCTATCCAGATTCAGAATTCTAGTCTCAGTAATAATGGGACTATAAACGTCTGCTCGTTAAAGCTACCCACTTTCTAGTACATTCTCATGGAATGCTAAGAAACTAAGACATCTGTGTTTCTGGGATGATATTGTTTCAAATCAAACTCCAAAAAACGAAACTCCTTGCCATCAAGCTGATTCCAACTCATAGTAACCTTACGGAACAGAGTAGAACTGCCCATTTGGGTTGCTGAGGCTGAAAATCTTCCTGGGAGTGGAAGCCTGGTGGGTTTAAACAGCCAAACTTCTCTTCAACAGCCCACCCTCTCCCCCACCAGAGTCTGGATATCGGAGTGTTTATAAATCTCACGAACTGATTTTCAAAGATCAATTATTATTCTAACCTCATTGTACGTCAGTTATAGGAACAGACATTTCAGACTTGACTAGAGAAATAAACCTCAACTACAATTTTTAGTATACACCTTGTCTATCCCAAGAATATGATTGTTACATATTTCCATATGGTACAAAAAATATTATAAGAATTTGTTTTTTAATATATGAGAAGCATATACTCCATTGTTTCATAATATTTTGTGCCTAAATAATTTTATGCTTACTGACTTATAGGACATATTTAAAATTTTTACTTACAATCCAAAAACCATCATATTTCACTTCTTGGTGAAAAAGACTACATTCTTCGGCCCACCATTCTATGCATTGAGGATTAGTGAAGTCGGGGTACACTGTGAGTCCTGGCCACACCTACAATAATAGAGCGCACACATATATTCATACATTACACACATATCCATACATTACACAGGTATCCACACAATACACATATATTCACACATAAATGACAAACAAATGAAATTCAAACCTCATTCAGTTATTCATATAGCAAAAATTATTAAAAATAAAATATACTTCTTGAAGTATGGGTGACTCATACATCATCTGTATATAAAATAAAGTCATGCTTACATTAAAATAAATTAAAAAGATAAAGACAAAATTAAATGATGAAACATTTACACAAGGAAAACATTTTTAAAATATCAGAATAGGCTGCTATTTTTTACTGAAACTAGAGTATTTCTGTGTATAGTAGGTTAGGTAAAAGGAAATCATTATAAGCATCTTCATTGTTTGATTTATAAACAAACATGCACACAGAAAACATTATTTGCTATAGAAAGTTATCTCTTCCTAAGAAATACAGGAAGAAACTATCCTAAGGCAATTATTAATTTTTATTTAATAAAATGGATATAGTACTTGTTATATGCTGGGCCATTCTCAGTATTATGCAATAAATAATTCATCATTACCTTAGGAGTTGGGTACTACAATTACTATTTTACAAATGAGCTAGGTTTTGTAACACAATCAATTTTACAGATCAAGAAAATGAGGCACAAAGAAGTCATAAGTTTTTCACTATCACAGCACTAATAAAGAGCACTTCAGGTATTTATTTGGACTTTAACCTCATATCCAAATCCATCCACTGTAAGTTGTTGCCTCTGAATAATTTATGTTTTTTACAACTTTTTGTGACGTTTTCTTTTTTACTTACAAAAATAATGTTAAACAAGAGTAATTCCATTTCAGATAGATTAGGATACCTGATAATGCTTGTATATCCCAAGGAAATATATTCATTGTCTAAGACATCCATTTCCAACAGAACAGATTCTCATTTTGTGGGCTAGTAACAGGCATTAATGAGAACAAGAGTCCCTGAATGGTGCAACCAGCACTCTTGGGTGCTGACCCCAGCGTGGAAGGTCCCAGTCCACTCGGACAGCCTTTGAAAGGAGATCCCAACAATCTCCTGAAAACAAGCCATTGAAAACTCTGTGGAACATACTGTTCTCGTACAGATGCCATCACTTTGTGTCAGTAACTCAAGCCAATAGCAACTAGTTATAGGGAAGGAAGTGTGTTATTTTCTTGATGGAATCCATATTTATTGGAAGAAATTTTTCATCTAAAATACAAATTTATATTTTCTCCTTCTGTGTTATTCCATTTTCCGAATGGTAGAAGGGGAATAACTAAGTCAATAAACCTAGAAACTATGGTAGTTTTGCCTATGACTTATAAAGTTTTCTATAAGATATTATTTATTTTAGTAACGGTATACATTTTAGAATGAGGACAATTTTTTGACTCTGTTTCCTATGAGCTCTGTGATTTCACTTCACCTCTCCTAAAATTCAGTTTTCTTACCTAATAAGTAATATTTTAATTATAGTCACTTCATTATTTTATTTGTAGGCTAATGGTCAAAAATGTCATTTCGAGCATAAGATATAAGTAGTCAACTTATATTTTTAATTATATTATTAACTTTCGCATAGGCTTCTGGATTAGCATACAATAATCTAGATTGTAAAATTTTGTTTTTAATTGCTCTATTTATGGAAGTGGTGATTTCCTATGGCTGTGTACTCCTGGTGTAACTAGCCTCTAAAAACACCATTTTAGAGACTTAAACTGCTTTTGTGATTCCTCTCCACAATCAAAATCACACCTGAAGTTTTAGAAAAGCAAACACACACATATACAGGAATTTGGTGGCAGAACAGACAATCTGACAGCACATCTTTAATGAATATTATCATTTACCTCTCCAATAATTGGTTTTGTCCCATCTGAGTCATTGACCCACACTTTTCTTTCAGTTCCCCGGTCGTAGCTGGCATACGAAGCTCCATTGGCACGTTTTCCTATGGAAATCGCTGGGTCCTAATAATAAAAAGAAGAAACTCTAGAAAATCTATCAAGTTATTAAAGGTGCAACCGTGAAGAATGCATTGATATAAAATCAAACATTACCAAGATTATGACATATTTTTGTCCATGGTCATGCAAATCTTGAGCAAATTCCGGTAGTCCTTTATATGCAACTGCATCATATGTGAAGGCTTTTTTGTCTTCCATATAATCAATATCAGTGACCTGTGTATCCTGAAAATTAGCGCAGTATAGTTCAACAAATACTACTGAAATAATTCTGTAATCCCTTTCACTTTTAAGGCCAATTACTTTGTACAATAAACATAATAAGTATGGAAAATAAACTTCAAAAACGAACAAAAAAAAACCCTTATGGCCAATGAGTCAATTCTGACTCATAGCAACCCTGTACAAAAGGATAGAACTGACCCTGTGGGTTCCAAGACTGTAACAGGAGTAGAAAGTACCGTCTTTCTTCAGAAGGGCAGCTGATCATTTTAAACCATTGGCTTCATGGTTAACAGACCAACTCACAGCCACTCTGTCTCAAGGGCTCTTTCACTTGTTTTCCAGTAAGGTAGCAATGCTACTATTTACCAAGTTAGTTTATTTTTTTAATTTCTGAGTACACCACCATTAAATGATGACTATTAATAAACTATATGGTGCATATTCCATTCAATTTCCTATGGGTACCACCATATGACAAAATTGAATCTTACAAATATCCCCATAGCCATTTTATTCCACTTACAAATGGTATGCCAGCATCTCGGTTTCTTTTCACCACTTCTTTAACTACATCTAGTGATTTATAATTCCAGCGACTGAGCTGAAACCCAAGACTCCAGTAGGACGGCATTGCTGGTAATCCAATGAGCTTGAAGTAAATGAGAACGGAAAATATATTCATGATTCAAAACTAATATAAACATATTTCTTATGCTGCTACAGGTCTAATAGTTGTTTAAGTATGATTACATTCTTTCATACAAAGAAAGAAATGATGGCATTTATATTCTAATATAATTTATATATAATCTATTAGGAATCTTATTTTAAAATACTAAAGACATTTTTTGCTTTGTCATTTATATTTCATTTGTGTTAAAACTAGAAAGTGCATCCTTCAAGTGGATACCTTGTGCCATAATGTGTGTTAGGCTTCATAAATTACATAATATTATGCGAGATAACCTGAAAGTGATTCAAGATAACCAGAAAATTCTTCACCATACACGCTATGACATAATAATAATAATAATAATGAGGAACAGGATAAAATCAAGTGATCATCCTCCATTTTAATATAATACAATTATTTTAGTAATGTCATAATCTTTAGAATTTAAAAACCCTTACTAGCATGGATAGGGTGTAAACAACTGAAATGTCAATAATTTAAAATTATATTACTAAATGTATTATATTTGATTAAAACATTTCCATATGTAATTAAATCTATAATTTAATTCCCATACAAAAATACGTAAAATATATTTATATACAATTCAATTGAGTGTTTCTCTCTATAGGCATATATTATATCTACATCTATATCTGTACCTATTTACATCTATATTGCTGTTCTTAAATGTCCTCAAATTGACTCCAACTCAAATTATCCTAAATATAACAAAACAAAATACTACTTTATTCCTGCACCATGCTCACAATCATTATTGTGAGCCCGTTTGTGAAGTTATCAATCCATCTCATCAAGGGCCTTGTTTTCCAATATCTACTTTTGCGAGTATAATACCCTATCCCAGGAAATGGTCTGTCTTCATAACTTTTGCAAAGTACATGAGATAAAATTCTACACTATCAGTAGAATTACCTTATGCCCCAGGGAAACAATGATGTCTCTAAGGTGAACCAGAAACATATATAACCCCTAGATATATGAATGATAATGAGGTTGCATTTAATTATATTTCCAATGTAAGAACAATTCATTCTTATGACATGGCCTTCCTTAATGCTTGCCCTCAAAAAGAGATCACTGAAGATGCAGGTGCTATAACAAATTGTGGTGGGTAAACAAATGGTGTCCAGCTATCAGAAAGAATAATGTCTAGGGTTTTAAAAGCTTATTTACAAACAAGCAGCCATCTAAGCGGAATGTCAACTAAGTTCACATAGAAGAAGCACACCAGCCTGTGTGATTCAAGGAGTGTAAATAGTATAATCCAAATCAAAAGGATAGAATATTATCAAAGGTTAAATTGTGAACATGCAATTTTCAGAAGGCTATGGATGAAAGTAGAAGCCCCAATCCATTGGCAGGGTCCACGCATAGATTAAGCCTCTGTTGCATACACTTTCACCAAAGTAGTATAATGTGAGTGGCCAGACTATCAAATAGAGGGTATTGTAAAGATAGATGAGTAAAGTACATGGAATTGAGTTTAAGTAGACTACCTTGTTTTATCCCCATTTTGCTCAATTAAATGTTGTGTCAGCTTTTAAAAGTAAGTGAAGGAGAAATACACATGGCTTTACTCCAGTGAATTCCCTGTGAATACAGACCAGGAATGTGAATAGCCTTGACATCCTGCAGAGTGCATTAAAGTAGATTATGGCAGCAGTAACTGGGTTAAAAGTTAATATTTTATCATTTGATCTCATTTTAAACCCAGTTTAAACTTGTTCTAGTTTTTAATAATTTGTTTTCTTTTTTATTGAGGTTTTTCTCTATTTTATTTTGCTAATGTTAGCTTTTTATGATTTTGCTTTTATTCATATTTTTTGCTATAATAAATCCAGGGTGAGTGAATCCACAGAAACAGTAACTGCACTAATTGCTTCTCCGGGGTATGGCAGGAGAGATTGGGAGAAACGTGGAGCTAATTACAAGGAGTATAAGAGAAAACAATGTTTTAAAATTAATTGTGGTAGAGATTGTACAACTCCTTTTTATATGATCAAACTATTGAGTTGTATGGTATGTGGATCATCTCCCAATAAAACCATTTGGAAATATTTTTGAACATTAATATATTAGTTCAACAAACCAAAAAAAATGTTGTTTTATGACTAGTTTCAACAAAAGGTGAGGGTGTTTTAAATGTAACATCCTTGGTTAATAGTGCTAAGTTCTTATTATGTTGTGGTTGGACGTCATCCATTTGTTCTGACTGAGAGCAACCGCATGCAGAACAGAAGGAAGCAACTCCTGGGCTGGTGCCATCCTCCCAAGTGCTCTTATGTTCAAATCCATTGTGTGGCCACTGCGTCACTTCATCTTTTTGCATGGTCTTCTTCTTTTTCACGGGCCCTCTATTTTATCAAACATGATGTCCTTCTCTAGGGACTGGCCTCCCCTGATAACATTCCAAAAAACATGAGACAAAGTCTCACCATCCTTGCTTCTAAGGATCCTTCTAACTGTACTTGTACCAAGACAGATCTCTTTGTTCTTTTGGCTTACATGCTATTTTCAATATTTTCTGCCAGGACCATAATTCAAATTCATTCTTCAGTCTTCCATATCCAATGTTCAACTGGTTTTGAATAACATGTTTATTATTTCAACGTGAGATCAGAGTACCATTGTTCCTCAGTAAATATTCAAAAGGTGTAAAGAATGTAAATTTGTGATTTTTCACAATAGCCACCTGTTCAGCTACGCACCTTAGAGAGAACCCTGATTGCTATTGCCATTTTAACAACTTATTCACCAAACTCAACAAAAATTTTATATCAGTTCTGCTGAACCAATGTGAATCTGCTGAATCCCAGCACTATGTCTACTTCAAATTCTTGTCTCAAATCTAAGATTCTTTCGTAGCTGCAAAGGCGTTCATGAATAATTAAATATTTTATGTAAATTATCTCAAAGATTTTCAACTCTTGAACTCAGCGGCTTAGAAGCCAGAAACTATTTTGAAGTCATAAATATAGATATTTAAATATATATGTCATTATGTAGACAAATAAATCACATTTGAAAAAAAGGCAAATATTTATATCATTTAAAGAGCCTTAAGTACATAAAGTGAATTTAATAATCAGACATGTTAGAAGAAGGACAAGTAGGATATAAAAGAATTGTATAATATAAGCATGATGAATACCTCTTGATATTGTTGCACTACTTCTTCTGGAGTATCACCAAGAAAGATGTAAAAATCCAAAATTCCACCAGTAACTCGGTAGGTTACTATAGGAGTAGGCTGGATGAAAATTTCTACAAAATGAATTTGAAAAGTATATAAAAATAGTGAAAATATAAAAAATATTTTCAGTTTCTTAATGTACTTAATATTAATAATTATTTTAACTATTTTCAAATATTTAAGATTAAATATTAAATGCTTCCTCCCCCCACCCCCTGAACTATCATGATCCCAATTCTAACTTACAAATCTGGCTAGACCAGAGGATGTACACTGGTACAGATAGGAACTGGAAACACAGGGAATCCAGGACAGAGGATCCCTCCAGGACCACTGGTGAGAATGGTGATACCAGGAGGGTGGAGGGAAGGTGAGGTAGAAAATCCAAAATTTTCTACCTTTACAAAGATCTATATATAACCCCCTACCTGGGAGATGGACAACAGAAAAGTGGGTGAAAGGAGATATCAGACAGTGTACAATATGACAAAATAGTAATTTATAAATTATCAAGGCTTCATGAGGGAGGGGGGAGACGGGGAGGGAGGGGAAAAATGAGGAGCTGATACCAAGGGCTAGAGTAGAAAGAAAATGTTTTGAGAATGATGATGGCAACAAATGTACAAATGTACTTGGCCCAATGGATGTCTATATGGATTGTGATGAGTTGTAAGAGTCCCCAATAAAATGATTTAAAAAAATGAAAAAGAGAAATACAGAGACAAAATTTAGAACTTCACCAGGCATGAAATTAATGATAAGATAACCCATATACAGATATTTCCAAAAAGCTCACTTATAAGCTGAGTAGAAAAGGGTTGATGAATATCCTCACATAATAAAAACTTTCATTTTTAAAATTGTGAAAATATATTTTAATTGAAATTATTTGCATTTTTAGAAACATTAAAGTTGAAGGAAAAAGCTATATAAAAATAAGTTTATATGCAATAAGTCACTGAGTGGTACAGATAGTTAAGTTTTTGTCTACTAAACAAAGGTTGACCATTCAAAGCTGTTCTTTCAAACCTGAGCAGACACCTCTGAAGAAAGATCTGGTAATCTACTTTAGAATCCCAGCCATTGAACAGGGAGAGCAGTTCTACTCGAATGCATGTAGGGTCTCTCTGAGTCGGAAAGGATTTAAATGGCAACTTTTGGAGGGGCATGGCCACGTGTGCAGTCTAGTCTGTTAAAATTCATAGCAACCCTATATGCAATGGACCAAAACACTGCCCAGTTCTTCGCCAGTCTTAGAATGGCTTCTATATCAGAGTCCATGTGACATAGTTACTGTGTCAATCCTTCTCATGGAGGCTCTTCTTTGTTTTCACTGACTTTTTCCAGGGACCGGTCTCTCCTGATAACACACCCAAAATAGATGAGACCATATCTCCATAATCTCACTTCTGAGGAGAATTCTAACTGTTCACACGCTTCTCCCAAGACAGATGTGTTGGTTCTTCTGGCAGTGGATGGTAAGTCACATGGTTTGGGTCAGTCACACCTTACTTCTCAATATAACATATTTGCTTTTAAACACTTTTAAGAGTACCTTTGAAGTGAATTTTCCTGAAGAACCATACATAAGATTGCTTTCGCTGGAATAGGATTTATCTATTGACTGTTGATATGAGGAGTCATGTGAGTATCGTCCGACTGCGAGGTGCAGCCCATCAGTTGGTGCTTTGTAGAGATATATTTCTCAGTTGATTGAGCTCTGTTTACATTGAGCATGAGGATTGGTATTAGGGGAAATTTTCCTCTCTCACTTCTTACAAATACAGACCTTTGCCTATCAGATTAAAACCTGTCATATTACTGCAAGGGGATCATTAAGGTGCCAAATATAGAAATTAACCTTTTTATATTAATAAAATTCTTACAGAATTGAAAAATTATAAAGACACCTCGACAATACAAGAGACTTCAAAATGCCACTCTCGAAGAAAGACAGAACATCAATAAAAAAAACTCAAAGACACAAAAAAGATCAACAAAATCAACCTCATAGATATATATAGAACAGTCCATCCGACAAAAGCATGGTATACATTCTTCTCCAACACACACAGCACATTTTTTAGAATAGACCACATCCTAGGTCATAAAGCATGCTTCAAAAAATTAAAAAGAATGAGGTCCTACAACCAATCTTCTCAGACCCCAACACTATAAAAGTAGAACTCGACAATAAAACAGTAACATCAAGACAGACATGTGGAACTTGGACACCCTAATACTCAAAAGGAATTGGGTAATAAAGTAAATAAAGGAGGAAATATAAAAATACCCTGAGACAAATGCGATTGATAACACAACATATCAAAACCTATGGGGCACAGCAAAAACAGCAATCAGAAACCAATTTATAGAAATCAACCCACGCAAGAAAAAAGAGAAGAAATCCAAAATCAAAAACTTATACAACACCTTCAAGAACAAGGCCAACAACATAAACTTTCCAGTTAAAGCTGGAAAG